ACATTTCCGCTCACAATCAGACGTCTTAAGACATTTCCTATTTTCTAATAAAATTTGGTACGGATTGTGTATTCTGAATTATATACAATATCTAATTTCGTTCAATTATAGAGCTAATGTAATAGTTGACCTCAAACTTCTGAATACAGGTGTAACTCTTTTTAAAATTTGATTGATATTTTTAAAAGTTGTATCCTTTAACACACAAATATGATACTATAAAACGTGCGATCGTTCATGGTTAAAACTAAATTCCTTTCTCCGCCACTTACGGAATACTTGCAGTCCTATAACTATATTTTTGCAAGTGACTCGAAGGATGTTAAAAATCTCCGAGATTTAAATAACCAAATAATAAACCAGAGAATAACGGATCACATGTTTGTTCCATGACACTGTATCTGCAAATTCAAGAAGAATCATCGAACGCGGTGGAGTTAATCTTAATTAAATCTAACATCTCCAATCATCTAACACTGCGTGTACATTAATCTTCGAGGCTTCCTAGAGTCCAACACGAAACCTGCTCTTTTATCCTATTTTCCTTCTCGCCTGCAACTAGCATACACACAGTGAAAGTAGATAAGAAGTCCGTTCACGATCTTACACGTAGAATGCCCTTATCTAAACGCACAGAACGTTCTTATGCGCTGTATTGCACGGTGCTTCCTTCGCACTTTATTTCCTGTGCTTGCACGAGCGCTTACATCTTGCAGATAAGAATAAGTGAAGAGCAAGACGAATCAGATTGGGAATTAACTAGATTACGTAAATGAACGTCGAATGGGATTAACTTTTTAAAAAGAGAAATAGTTTACTGCAGCGATCGCATTAAATTTTACAAAGTCGTAGGATCTGAATGTGGAAAAAGATAATGACAGAAGAATGTCAAGCAGATCCTTGAAATTTTACTTTACAGTCTCTGCAAAGTCGTCTTGCAAGCTGATTGAAAAAAAATGCAAACGACGAATAATTTGAAAAAAAAATGCCTCGAAGCAATTTTGTCTAAACACTTGAAAAACTTCTCAATATTTCATTCGACAATTCGTTCCAGCGCATTGTACGTTATTTAAGACCGAATCGCGTTGACGTTTCGCATAACGACGCAACAAATTTCGTTGTTGGCAACACGAATCGTACCGTACGCGTACGCAAAATGAAAATTAATTGTAACACAGCGGGCAACTGTCACGAACGAAGAGAGCAGTCGCACGTTACTGTTGTTCCATACGCTTAAAGTACCGAGTGATTTATTAACGAACTCGTCGCCGAATCGTAAATAACGCTAACGAATCTTAAACGCTATATCGTTAAACAAACGCTCGGCGCGCATCGTATACGGTTGACCCATTGCATTGGCAGGATTCGCATGATTCCACAGCTCTTAACAACAGGCCCAACACGTACGCGAGACATTCGTACCAAGGTTGAAAAAGAACTCTACGCTGCCAGCACGTTTTACGTTCGGCGCATGCATATGCATCAGGTGATGCCAAACACTGTCGCACGTACTAAAGTAACTCGCAACGTTTGATTCGCTTATCCGGCAAAAATCACGGCTATGTTTCATTAATAGCGAGTTAATTATATAAAGACAGTCGTGTTAAACGAGCCATAATTATGTCTGACGATCCTGTTATTCAACTTTTTAAACGACCGTTTTCTATTTTGTAATTTGCGTGACGTTGACGACGAATCAAAAGGAAGGTCTTTGTAAAATTTTCATACGAAACAGGGGGGAAATTCTCGTAAAGATAACGACGTCGTCAGATACATAAGTGGAAATTAGCAACGACAGGAGACGGACATAAGCATAGCTTTGCCTTATTAAATTAAAAAAAGGCTGTTTGTTCGCGATCACTCGGTTAGAATGTCTCTGAATCAATTTCGCTTTATCACGGTTTCAACACGTCCAGATTACACCATATCCTGTATTGTTTCACACCGGCAGTAGCGCGTGTACACGAAGAGCCTTAAGCGGAGAATTTTGACTCAGTTATCCAGGTTTGATCCAGGCGCGATCGGAGAACCAGCGAGAGTGTGCACGCGTTTGTCGGGCAAAAGTAGCTCGATGTCGAATTCTATTTGACTTTTGTACGTCGATGGAAAGCGCGATCGCGCGAGTTAATTTGCACGCACAGTTAGACGCTCCTTTGAGAGTTCATCGAGTTGGCACATGGCACCTCCCTCGACACGCGCAGAAACGCATTTCCGCCTTTCTAAGCGAATGCAAATTAGGCGAACGCGATTAAACGTCAATGGACGTGGTCCAACGACGAGCGATAACCATCTACAAATTCTTTTGCAGCGTGGGAAATTTTTCTAGACTCTAGCTGAACGCATTAGTCACCGTTGATTCTTTGTGAAATAGTCAGACAACTATTGTATAATAAAACAGCTTGTTGGAATGAGAGATTTTAGTAGTAAAATATTTGTATATAAAATAATTAAAAAGTTAAATTACAAATTAGGTACATGTACTGCATATACATACAGGGACTCACGAAAGTATTTGGAAACTTATAGAAAGTTTTTATGGATATATCATGAAAGATATATTGTCATATATCACACGATTATATTCATCAAATTTGAAACGAACTTGAAATTTATTTCAACATTGAGTAAAATGAAAGTTGATAATGAAAATTTAGATATTTGTGGAATGCAAGAAGAATATAAGTATATTTAAAGAAATTTCGTCTGAATGATGCAGATGTAATAAGAAGCTTATATATATATATATAAAACGAAGTGAAGACGGTGGCATAGTGGCTCTCCATATAATGCACACAATTAAAAATAAGCAGCGAAACGATCGATCGAGGAATTTCGCTAAATAATTTAAACCACTGCAACGGATGTTATCTCGGTACCAGTCACTTCGACATAATCTATCGACACAACGAGAACAAAATAGTCAATCCTAGTGCAGAGACTGTGCATTCTTAAAAATTCATTCCCCTTTTGCACTAAATTATGAGCAAGAAATTCATACAAATTGAAATCCATTCAGCCATGATTTTTTATCGAGTTTTTTCCAGTGCCTTGAATTTAAAATTTTACCAAGACTTTGTTATATTATTCGGAAATAAGAATGGAATAAATTATTAATTTTAATTAAAAATTTCGAATAAAAATTTAACTACAAGTATTTGAGTGAAATAAAATTAAACTACAAATATTTAGATAACATATTCAATTTCTAATTAAAATTTAAGTGCAAGTATCTAAATGGTAATATGTATTTGGAGGTTAATACCAGGAATTATGCTAAGAATAGCAGATTATAGTTCCTAATAATAGCTCTCTAGGTGTTCCCTAATGTGCATGGCAAATTCATGACTGTTTCATTGTTTCTATTTATAAATAACAGCACCGGATCAAACACGGAGGCGTGTGAAAATATTCGACGAAGGTACAATTTCAACGCGAATTTCAACCGCATAGAAACCAAAGGAAAAATGAAATTTTCCCCGTGAAAAGTAGGCGTACGTTAGAAGATTACTTTGGAGAGGCACAAGGCCTTAGTCGGCGAACGTATAATACTTTCACAGAGGCGTTAGAGCAAAGGTCATTCTTCCCCGGCAAAACCGAGACGAGTAACAAAGTTCAAGCATTCACCGTCATACTGTTGATTTCGAGAGAGTGCAATTGCCATACCGTAAAAAAGAAAACATTTACAAACATTATTGATTTATCATTTCATTTTATAACGAGATCTTTTCGAAGTAATGAATCAGCGTTAGCGAATTAAATAAAATCATTTTCTATAGCAATTATAAAATATTGTGTGGAATATTGAAAATAAATACACAGTTTACAAAGTAGTACATGCAATTAACATTGCTAATTTTCCTCATAGTAAGGTCATACGTTTTAAAGAGACATCGTGACACACATTGTGCAGTAAACATAAACGATACTTTCGATGATTTAAATGAACAGTGACATTCAATGCAAATCGTGATATGTGTATAATCATTCCCGAGAGGGCGTCGCCGTTTGAGTACGTAAAACGAAAAATATAAATCGAATTTTGTAAATGGAGTACATAAAACTTGAGGACGAGTCATAACTAAAATTAGTTACGTATTGATATGTAAAAACATGTTAAAAAAATTCTGTCTCATAAATCATTTAAAACTGATAAAATTTGTGAATTTAGATATTGCTGAAATTTTTGTTCATTCTGTGTAACTAAAAAATATTAGATTTTATCTATATAGTGACTACAAAAAGTATTGGCACAGTGTTGTATTTATTGTAGCATTTATATATCAATTTGGGACCAATTTCATGTCATTTCATAATACTTAGTTTCATATGGCTACAAAAATTTGATATTATGTAAATGAAAAATTTGATTAAGAAGATGTTTGATTTGAAAATAAAGGTATATAATATTATAATATTCTCCACAACTATTATATATATATATATATATATATATATATATATATATATTTGGTATACACCAAATTTAAATTTGAATATTATAAAGATATTTCCTACAATGTACTCAAAATTTGAGGATTGTTAAGATTTTCTTTAACTCATTTTTTAGAGATAACTTATATTCTTATAATTATACCTATAATGGTATATATATACCTACTTTACACACACAAAATATATATATGTGTGTGTGTGTGTAAAATAGGTATGTATATATACCATTATAGGTATATATAATTATAAGAACATAAGTTATCTCTAAGAAAAGAGTTAAAGAAAACCTTGACAATATTTAAATTTTGTGTACACCGTAGAAAATATCTTGATAATATTCAAATTTAAATTTGTTGTATACACATAATCATACAAGTATAGGTTATACTCTAGAAAACCAGCTGAAGAAAATCTTGACAATGCTCAAAGTTTGAGTATATTAATAAATCATCGCAGAAAAAGAGAGTACATTTGCAAAGCTTCATGGATAAATCAAATCAATGGAAAAAAAGAAATGAAAGGAAACAAGCATAAATCGTCAGACTGACCTGTATTGACGCGGTGCCGGGCGTTGGTCTCGTTCGCCGGAAGAAGGTCGTCGTACTCCAGTGTCGTCACGTCCTTCGTATGAACCAACACAATTACGCAGGTGACCAGCATCAACACCATCGTCACCACCGATCGATTGACCATCATTTTGATCGAGGAAATATGCGCTTATCGGCCGCGAAAAATCCGTCGCGCGACACACAGGACACGCCGTTCGATCACATTTTTACAAACCGCGAGAGTCGACGCTTTGAAAACGAAAGCTCGAAATTATCGAGCGCTCGAAGCGGGAAGTTCGAATGCCGGAATCGTGTACCGGACGTCGATCCTCGCATATTATTCAAATCCAGGTAAATACGGTTACGGACAGACGAAGAAACGGTTACGAGACACGAATTCGTTACGATGCGCGCGTCACTCCCGCGCATTTCAATTTCGTACGGCGTTAAGTTAGCCCTTGGAGGGCGCGGATTCGATACATGCGCAGATCGAACGAACTGTCATAATTACTGCGCAAGGGGGGCGCAGGCAGGAGCCCGCGTGCGAAACGAGTGCACCGTTCACGGATGAGAAACTCGAGGTCGGTGAAACTTCGCGAATCCTCTTCGTCCGGTCTCGTACTCTCGATTCGTGTGTCACACGAAGGGCTGTCAGTCAGTGGACATTACACGTTTGTCGACTGTCACTCGCGTACACGTAATTGAATGCGGTCTACACGGACACGAAAATAAAAAGGATTATCCGCGACGGCGCGTGCTACCTGTTTTAAAAGAAGTGTGCGCTTGCTGCACGAGTCCATGCTGCACTGCTAGGCACAAGTCAGGTGTTTCAAGCAGCCGCCACGCTACGTTCACGCCATCTGTCCACCAATCACCGAACACTTGGCATCGCGCGTAAACCACTGCCGCGCTTTTCACGCGCACGTTCCTTACGTCTCTGCGTCACGTGGCCATTTGACTTCATTCATGGAGACAGGTCCTTTTATACGACGAGTGTGTACGCGTATCAACCGGCTGCGTAGGTATGCATCGTTCTTAACTCTTTCTCTTTCTCTTCCATTGCTGTATGTAACACGGCTTCTGTACATAACACAGAGTAGGAATTAAATCGTTACTTTATTATCGATTTTCTCGCGATGTAACGACCTGCTATCGAAATTTCACTCGTTCGATATGAATCGAACCTTGAAGGTCCTTCGATAAAAATGCACGCAGTCCAACGAATGTTTTTACCAATCGTCGCGGGTAATCGAAACGCAAGTAATTCAAAAAAAACCGAATTTATAATCGAATACATAATTTAAAAGGTCAATATGTATTCTATTCTCTAGATGCACTTGTGACTTAACTTCAACCTAAAATTGATGTGGTGGTCATTTCGTCAAGTAAACGGTGTGGCGATAAATCTCCAGAGTTCTTCCAAAGTGCTTAAAAATTTTCAGACACACGCAACATTTTATAGCAGCTATTTTGCAAATTGCCATCAAAGTAAAAATTACTTTGGGACAAACTGTGATAAATTCTAAATCATTTGCGGATAAAAATTAACTTTGACCGTACCAAACGCATATCTTCTCTTTTATAATTACTAAACTTGAAACATGGCGCGTAAATATTGCTTAACACCGGCATATCGGTCGCCGCTTCTAAATAGTTTCCTGCATGAAAGCGATTCGTTTGTTACCTACATTTCCCTATCGGCGGCAATTTCTCACCGTCTCTCTCTCCCTCTCCCTCTCTCTCTCTCTCTCTCTCTCTCTCTCTCTCTCTCTCTCTCTCTGTCTCTCCCTCCTTCTCTCTTCATCCCCGACTTTAGCAAGGCAAAATCACGCGTCGCAGTCACGTAAGCGCGGCCTCTTCGCGAAGAGGCTTCGGTCTACCGGTATTTAATTAAGCCCAGTCATTCGAATAAAAAAGGTACAGGAAGCGATGGGTTTCGAGTACGCGGAGCAGCGGACCGTAGTTCGAGCCCCGTTACGGGACAGATGCATTGGCGTAATCCCGATCGATCGGCCAATGTCCTTTGCACGACGAATGTCCGCGTATCGCGGCGCCTCCACGCCGTTGCAGAATGCCGGTGCAACTTCTCGCCGGTATTCCGCAGGGATCGCGAACCGCGTCGACCTTAAAAATTATCGACACGAGACCCGAGAGTAATGGTCAGAGCATAACACAGGCTTTGTCTTCGTCGCGCGTCCCCCTTTTTCACTTTATCTCGCTCTGTCTGTCCACCAGGAAAGGCAAACGATCCGTGTTGTTTTTCAGCCTGACAAGGAAACAGACGGTCGATGCACTTCCAATCGCAGGCCGATCACGATTCGTAATCTTTGAGCGCACAGAGGCGATCAAGTCGAGTAATGTACATACCACAAGATTCGAATGGAGTTATTAGAACGAAAAAAAGATATAGTTGCCTCTGCTTGTTACGATTAATAGGCTGTGCAGTTTCAGCATGAACGTAGGGTAATGTGATTTGATGTGATAATTGTTTGCTCAATAAAATAAAATTTAGAAAATATGTAAAACAAAATGGGGAAATGAAGATCGTACTGATACGAGATCGTAAAACGCATCTTCCTTTTAATGAGCCACTGTTCAACTAGCTTCTCACATATGAAGAATTCACAATACTTTATTGTTCGGTCTCTGAAACAGTCATCTTGTATAGTATCCTCTTAATAGTCACTGCAACTTTAAAGTATCTTTCAGTGGAATTTTATCTAATTGCAATTGTAAAATTATTGTATTAATATTTGTTATATGTAATTAACGATAATTTAATATCATTCTATGTATGTGGAAGATATTTCACATTCAGTATAACTTTCAGATGTTCAAGAGGAAAGTCACGGTTGATGGATAATTCCGGTATAGAATCTAAACACTGCGCTACGTACCAACGAAATTCTTCTATGCTTCTTCATTTTAGTCGCTTCTTTTTTCAAGCCTCGGGGGACATATTCTCACGAAATCCGGTTCTACTGGTTTGGGGTTAGATACGAAGGTGAAGTTTAGCTGTGGTGGCCCGAGAAATCGGCACCTCTGTTGATTACTATACCGTAATGTTAGATTAGTTCGTTTATTGCGTATAAAAATAAACTACTAAACGTGCCAGATTAGACCATCGATTGAAACATCGTAAACGAATTCTAAATCACCACGTGTTCAAAAACTTGTTTATCAAAGTACATTTACAAATCTACAATTAAATTAGTAACGGAACATGAAAGATTCAAGATATGAATCATTCGGTGTAAACTAAAATTTACGTATCGCACTAATTCGTAAGGAAAATAAAGAAGAGCTTGTTAAAACGAAAGAAAAACGAATGAATAAGTATACTGAGAAATTCACCACATAGAATCTAATTAATTTAATTAGCTGAGGTCTATAGAAACTTCACAAATCAGTAATGAAAAAAAAGCGGGTAATTCTGACACTGTCATTCCGCAAAATCTAATCGTTATGATAAACAGTTTTCATTCATATAAATTCACAGTATCATTCCGAAATTTTATTTATGGTTGCAGCAAAGATAAAATTGATAATATGAATTTGACTGAAAATGATCTTTAATTAATTTATAAATTAATCTCTATTAATTTCATATAATTCCATTAGATAAAAATCGATCGTTTATCACTGATTAGAATCTCTTTTCCATTTTCACTTATTATGAATAAATAAAAGAACATCAGCAGCACTCACATTACAGGTTGTCACGTTTTCCAAGGAAATGATATTTATTACTTCAAATTGGTTACAAAATACATCATAATTCTCACATAATTTATGACTGTACCATAGTGTTGACGACGCAGCCCGCGAATACGTCTCTCTCATATAATATTACACACACGAGAGCAATACAAGAGACCAGGTGCATTTAAATATTCATACGCAATGCATCACAAACCATACATACACTCGAGTCTACGCAATGTATACAGAGTGCCTTTTTAATAGAATCTGTGATTGCTTTCTTTTTACCAATGTGCAATACATAACTTATATGAGTCAAAAATAATTTTAAATAATTAAATATGTGTATAATTAAATAATAATTAAATATTTTCTTTAATATGTAATTTCAGATTTGAAAAATTATATTTTTGAAAACATATATTACTAACAAGATCATAAAAAGTATTCCATAACGTTTGAAAATTAATATATTATATCCATGAAGTTACATATGATGAAAGCCAAAATATACAAATAAAAGATGTTTTTTAAAATTAATAAAGTAACAGTATGTGGCCAATATCAAAAGATAAATGTTTCACCCTGTATACAAAAATATCATGCAGTCAAACACCATCTCCAGTACAACAGGTTGTTAATTTTTCTCTGCAAGATCCACGGCGGTGGGCTTCATTAAAAATTGAACTGGTCAGAATATCAAAGAGAAGAATAAATTTAACACGTATGAGCCATTAATTAACGGGCCAATTGCCGATATTCTTATACAAGGCGGAGGTAATGTACGTAAAATCTGCTTCTAAAAAAAAATCTTCATAAATACACCGATTTGTTTGTCGTATATTTGTATGAGAAATAACACATGAAGTCTGTTTAAATATGGTAAAGTACAACCATATATTTACATAAAAATTTCCATAATTCATATACATTTGAAAAACTAAAGAACACAAGCAAAACCCAGTATATGTATATGTACACGGCAAACCGCAGTTCAAAGATATCGCAAGAAATGAAATATAGTTACTTATTATTTACTAACTAATTCTATCTATACCTAAACAATAATTTGAACATAATGATTTGTCTGTAACAATTATTAATACTTTTCAAACAAAGTTTCAGAATTGATACATGGGCATTTTTGGAAAGAATTCTTTTCATAAAGAAGTGGAAAGAATATAGCAAGACAAACAATTAACTCTACTACACACATACATTTACAGCTGCCAGGTTTCGCGAGCAATGAACTCATGGGAAGTACTCACTCGCATAGTGCCAAGATGTACTATGAATGTACATTACTATGTTAATACTTATAACGTCAAACTACCATACTATTGTTGCTTTATATTTTGTTAAAAATATAGTTTATTTCTATTATTTTCTATCAATTTAATTAAAGAGGGACAGAGATATGTTCTACTTTCTCCAATGTTACATTTATTTGAAACATACAACTTTAAAATATAGACTTACTTAAACACGTAACTGTTTCTATCTTGTGTTTCACAATCACCCTTTCTTATGCTAATACTATTCTTTCCTACATATTTCATTGTCAGCTCGTTGTATACATACTGAAATAACAAGTAAAGAATAAAAAATAATATAAAATAAATGTTCGAAGCTCGAATGTACTATTAAATATATTATTGAATAAATAAATTAATAAAAACCGTAATAACTTGTCAATTAATAAATTTCTTTAAAAATAAAAATGTTAATGCACGCGTAAATATATGTACGTACATCTAGGAAATATACTTTAATAAAGAATTCGCGAACAATGTGCAATAGAGTTCTGTATCAAACACATAGCTCGAGGAACTTTTTAAAAAAATTTTTTCTAGGCACGCACAATGTGCAGCAGATCGGCGAGGTAAGATACGAGTGGGAATACAGAAAGGAAGCCTCTATAACGGTATAAAATATAGTTGAACTGTTGCTTGCAAACAAGAAATGGAATACACAGTCTTTTTCCTCCGAGGACGATCTAGATTACGGAATACGCGCATTACAAAGGGGACCACAGATTATTTCCTCAGAATATATGTATATGCGCTTGGTAGAAGACATTTCCATACGACTTTGTTTCAGAAACTTGTTTTTCTGTTCCAACAATTGCATATGATATTATGTTGCAACGATGCCACAGAAAAAAGTATTAAATAAAAGTATGGAGGTAGTTTATTGTTAATATAAACAAAAGGAAGATTGATTATAAACAATAGAAGATAATACAAAAATGCAAAAAAATAAAATATTTGATAAAATATTTCAAAACCGAAGTAGTTTATATTTACATAATACGTACACTATGGACGTTAATTGTATTACCGGCAAAATTTTATTTATAAATAAAAAAATTCTGACACAATAAACTATCATCATTTTACACACAGCACCATTAACAATGTCTTAAGTAATATCCTGAAGTGACAGCAACGGATATTGCCTACTGCAACTTTGTACAAAATACAGTTACGAGATCTACCGATGCACAATTGAGAAACACTATTTGAATAATGCCCTTAGCAATAATTACTTTGGTCACGAATAAGACGAGCATTGTCTTGCCATCTCAATGCAATCACTAGAGCAATTAATTTAATTTCTTGAACATCATTTAATCATCAAATATCATTAATTACATACAAAGTATAACTTTCATTACTCTTAATATTTATCATTTTACGGAATATATTGAGAAAATTTTACATAAAATGCATTTTAACAAATTCTCTAATTTTCATAAAAATTAAAATAAATAACAAATTCTAACTTACATGCTGTAAATATCTGATATATTTAATTTCCATAATTTAATATATATAAAATTTTTCATTACATAATTACATAAAACTTTGAAAGACTAAAGTAATATTTAATAATGCATAAAAATAATTAATCTGTAAAATATTCAAGGCATATGTACATCACAATGAATTACAATATGTGGCACAGACAACGAAAGCAATCACCAGTACATCTATAAGATTTAATAAATTTGAGCTCTGAAGACGGTTGTGCAGGTTCTAAATTCAAAGAATCCTCGCTTTCTTCACTCATTTCTTCAATACTAAATGTATCAGTTAGATCTTGTTTATGCTTTGAGGAATCTTTTGATTTAGTTGTTGGAAAAAGAGTCATTTCTCCATCACTAAAAGTAAATAAATATACATAACGTACTAAGGAACGTTACATATATAATATATGAGTTAACAGTTACCTTTCACTATCACTATGCCAGTATTCAACAAGAGGAAGATGTTCTTTACTTTTGTTTGGTACAGGAAGTCTTTGAATAGAAATTAGACCAGCAGCACTACTACCACTCCCACATCCCTTATCATATTTTGGCAACTTTACATAATCTGTATTACGTTGAATACGTTTAGCTTGTTCAATCCGTGCCTCTATCCAAAATAAATAATATATAAAGAAAATTGTTAACATTATTATGTTTATATTATAAATTAATTATTATAAAATAATAATTAACAATATAATACCAAGCTTTCTTTGCAATTGTTTAGTAGTAGAATTATGTTGAGATGTTTGTGTTTGATTGCTGCTGCAACTGCTATCACTTCCCTAAAATAAAAAAAACACAAACCAATATATCTTTCTTATTATTATCTCTATTTACCTAACTGTGATCTATAAAACGCATAATATCAAGAATCATATATTTACCACAAAAAGTCTCTCATCTTCTGTATGACTAATAGTCTTTGGATCACTGTCAATTCCACTATCTTCCATCACAAAATAAAAATATATTGTAAATTAATGATTAGATCTTCCAATTCATCTGAAATAAAAAATACATTTTTAAATAGTACAGAACAATTATACAAAATTTTCATACATATAACCACATATATAAATATAATATTTTTTAAATTAACTAACAAAATAATACCTCTTATCACTTAAATATTTGATAACAATGCACAAATACCACTTTTAATTTACATACTGTTATTTTTTATACACAAATATTTTCAACTAGTACTTAAGAAATAATAATTTATTCTATAATATAATTTACATACAATACATGATTCTATTATGTAAAATCATACTTAATAAAAGACAATCTGGAAACTTCTACTCACAAATATTTGTAAGCTTTTCTGACTTATCTAGTAGGAAGCATGCTTACATTATTATGGTATGTTCCATTATTGATTTTCTTTCTCCTATATAACCACATTTCTCTATATAACCAAATATTGCCAAGATACTCTTATATGATTAAATAAATACTCTATCTCTAAATAATGTAACAAACTAAGATTTACAATTAAATATATTATACAATATATTATATTCCTTTATCTATGCATGTATTCAACACTAGAATATAGTTTTAAATTTATAATATATAAATCAACAAATTTGAATTTAAAAAATTTTAAAAGTTTATACAATCTTGTACTATAATTTACATAAGTTATCATATGCTATGACAGAATTATTTGCTTAAAACAGATAAATAATGTCATAGCATAACAAGTTTCCTAGGAAACCAGAACTCCTTTCTCTGTATTTATTGAAAAGAATAAAAGATATAAAAAACTTCAGTTTAGTTTTTATTTAGTTTTCTGATATATGTTTACTGTGTAGTAAAACAGTTTTCTATTCATTTAATATAAAGGCGAATTAATTAATATACGACATATAAACGAAATTCTATATTTTTTCATAGATTCAAAAATTTCAATATTATTTTAATTGTAAGAATTTAAATAAATAATCATTTTATACATTAAATATCAAAATCACATCATTATTAGAAAGAAAACTAAAGATCTAAAAAGTGGAAATAAAGATATCTACATACCTAAGAAAATAGTGATTACTTTAACAATAAACATAATATACTAATATTAATTTATAATATTTTTATATGTAGTTGGATATTAAATCATTTTTAATCCAACAATCATGCGTCCATCAGTAACGAAGAGAACTCCTTCTAAAGTGACAGAGCTTTCAAAAGAATTGCCAAGAGTTAGTATTTTATGCATTTAACTTTTAATAATGTAATTTTTAATACATTTAATAACTAATACTAATAATTAGCATATAAGCTTCGTAAAAAGCCGGGTGGATGTGGGTGGTGGTGATATGGATTGGTTAAGAGGAAAGGTTTTCTTAAAACCAGAAGATCAATTACAGTTATCAGAAGCAGTAAGTGCACTTTTTCATTATTAAAACATTTATATATTTCAGCTATCAGATTTTTAAAAAGTTTGTAATTCTCTAATGAAAATAAAATTTTTAGGAATTACAAGAAGAAATTGCAAGAGTTCTGACTATACATAACACAAGAGTTCCAGATTCTTTAGTGGAGTGGTCATGGAAATTAAAAAATTTCATACTACTACCTCCTCCGCCACATTTAGTGACTGTTTTAAATGTACCTGGATCATTATTACACAAAGATTCTGAAGAAGCTAAAATACAATTAACAGGAGGACTTGTTGGTAAAATGCTATAAATAAAAATGATTTACAAAATTTACAACTAATTTAACAGTTTATTAAGTGTGATTTAAATATATCATTGCAGTGGATACTCCTTTTGAAGAAGCCATAGTACATGATGATGAAGAAGAAAGAGGAGAAGAAGAGGAAGAAGAAGCAGACATTGAAGAGCCAGAAGGTAAAATGAAAAAAAATTACATCTTTTCAAATATTCAAATGAAAATTAATTCAAAATTTTGAAAAAGAAATGGCAGATCATAAAGAACCAGAACCAGAACCAGAACATGAACATGAACATGAAGATGAAGAAGAGATAGAAAAAATAAAACCAAAAAAAATACCAAATCAGTTCAATTTTTGTGAAAGGGCTGCCTTAACATATACTAATCCTATGAGAGTAAGTGTGGAATTGCTTAGATTTTATGAACTGAAATCTATTTAGTTACATCTATATTAATCTATAGGAAATGAGTACCCAAACAATACCACCTCCAACAGGAATATTTAATACCCATGTTTTCCAATGGACAATCTTCGACGAGTATCAGGCACGTATTGAACTAAATCATTTTTAAAATTACATGAACTACATGTCTGAATGAATATATATCTTAGGAAGACTTTGCTCAACAACAACGTGAAAAAGAAAAAGAAAGAAGACTTCCAGTCCTACAACTCAAAAAGGAAGATGTAAAGAAAAAAGCTCAAATAGAATCTACAGCATTAACATATAGAATGTTACAGGCTGCAAAGACATTGGAACGAATGATAAACCAAAATATTTTTGATGAAATAGCTCAAGGTTAATATTTTAATTCAATCATTTTCAAAAATTTATACTTTATTTAGAAAAATATTTATCTAAATATTATTAGACTATAGATATTGGGATGATCCAAGTGATGAATTTAAAGTTGGAGAAGGTTCATTATTACCTTTATGGAAATTTAATTATGAAAAAACCAAAAAACATGATGTTACAAATTTATGTTTCAATAGTAGATATTATGATTTATTTGCAGTTTCATATGGAACAAGTTAGTAAAAAATATAAAAATTTTATTATGTATAAATACTTATATACATAACATTTCAGTGTCATTTAGTAATTTGATAACAAATGGAACAGTATGTTTATTTAGTTTAAAAAATCCATCATATCCAGAATGGATCTGTCCAACAGAGTCTCCAGTAATGTGTTTGGATTTCAATGAACAACATCCTCATCTTTTAGTTATTGGTAATAAAAACAAATATTAATAGATTTTAATTATAATACTAGTATTAATATACAATTTCTTTAATGATGAAGGTACTATGGATGGTGCTGTTGCTGTTTATAATATTATGTTGCCACCAACAGCTCCTCAATATAGAAGCAATGATGTTGTTCAAAAACATGGAGGTATTGTGTGGGAGGTTTGTTTATCACAAATAAAAATATTTAAAGTATTTAATAACACATCTTTGTTTTAACTATTTCAAAATATACCATTAATATAATATTTAAGATACATTGGGCACCAGACACAGAGGAAGGTAATTTAGCATTCTACAGCGTTAGCATTGATGGAAAAATAAATTACTGGATATTAAGTGAAAATGACCTTGCTTTAACAACTGTGATGACCCTTTTTCTGGACAGACCACCAATACCTGGACCAGATGGTACTATGATTACTCTTAAAGGTAAGAATATTTTATATTATTAGTATTTTTTCTAATATTAACAATTTATAATACAATCAGGTTGTGGAACATGTTTAGCATTTCACCCTGCAAATCAAAACATATTTCTGGTAGGAACAGAAGAAGGAACAATCTATAAATGCAATACAGCATACAGTAGTGTTTATATGAGAACTTATAATGAAGCACACAATATGCCAGTCTATCGGATAGTATTTAATAAATTTAATTCTAGCATATTTGCAAGTTGTTCTGGTGATTGGAGAATAAAAATATGGGAAGATGATAGGATGTAAGTTTCAATTAAACATATAAACTTTTTAAATTTTCAAACTTTTTTTTATGTCCACAATTATTTTAGGGAACCCCTATTTATGTTTGATCTTGGTATTCCCATTGGAGATGTTCAATGGGCACCATATAGTTCAACAGTATTAGCTTGTGTTTCAAATGATGGAAAAGTTACAGTGTTTGACTTAAATATAAATAAATACAGACCAATATGCAGCCAACAAATTGTTAGTAGAAAAAAATATAAACTAACTAGACTTGCATTTAACAATAAATTACCATTTATTATAGTAGGTGATGATAAGTAAGTAACTATTTTGTAATTTCATTTAATAATAATGAATAATATAATAATATAGTAATATTTTGATATTTTATGAGAATAGAGGTACAGTAAATACATTAAAGCTGTCACCAAACCTCAGATTAAAAGTAAAGCCAACCAAGAAGCAACTTCATTTGACACATAGAGAATTAGAAATTATGAAATTAGAGAGATTATTAAGTTTTGTACGTGAACCAGCTATTTTACAACCACCAAAGGATACAAGGGTAGAAACCTAATTAAGCCATATTTTTAATTACGGAAATATTTGTATATATATTTTTTTTAATAAAATCTATTTAGATATGAAAATCAATTACAGGTAATAATAATAATCATTATTATTATCTAATATAAAAAATTATAATATTCTTTAATTTTTTGTAAACATCAACACTTTATTAACATTTGCTATAACAGAAAATACATATTAATATCTATGTCTTTATAAACAAATTGGCACTAAATTTAGAATGATTTACAAATTTAAACTTATTATCTATAGTTGCTATAACATGTCTTCTAGACTAGAAGCAATTATTAACGATTATGAAACTACTTTAATACGTTCTTCTGTAAATAGAATTATTAAAGTTTTTGCAATTCCATACATACCACAACAATATCAACAACACCACACAGTTTCATAATAAATCTATTATTAAAGAATAAGTAATTTCAGAAATAGTTTACATTAATCGTATATATATATATATATATGTAACAATACTTATTGTTATTTAAATTTAATATATATTAAAAAAGATAATAATGAAGAGAGTATAAGTATAAATATTGAGTTATTTAATAATAATAAATATTATAAGGAATATATATATACATGGTCCAAGTGAAACTGTAATATTCTTATAAACAAAAATTTGATTAATATTTTTAAAAAGCTTTAATTTAATAATATACATAATTTTCTGGAAACTTAATACAAGATATTATTATTACACAAACCTTATTTTCTGATATAAAATATAGTAAGCACTGGCTATCACAGTGTCTGTTAGATTTCGTTTTTTTTTTTAATATTAAAGAAATATTTATATCATATAAATTATTCTTAAATCAAATAAATTATTAAGAAATATTAAGTTTAAATTACTATTCAGATATATTATTAAACAATCATTTTTTCAAAAAAAAAAATTTATATATGAAAAAAAGTTACAGTGAGCATTAAATTTAAAAATATATAAAATTAAACAAAAATAACTTGAAGAAATTATATTAAATAATGTAGAAAAATATAAAAAATATGTTATCTATAAAAATAAACAACTTCTGCATCTTTGGCACATTAATTTGTTATATAAAACAAAATAAAAATAAAACATTTAATACTATAATTAATACTGAGAATTTAATTAATACTGAGATTTAATACTATGCAAATGATTAAAGTTTTACAAGAAAGATTGTAACTTTCTTAGGAACTTGTGATATCTGACAATTCACTTCAATGAACTAAAACATTTTTTATCAATAAGTAATTATCTAAATACAATTAAAATTTAAGTTGGTATCTATATATTTATTATAAATGTTAGAAAATATATAACATCTACATTTTTAAGAATATTTTATAGAATACTTCCTTCTGTTCTCACACTAAAGTTCTAGCCAAATTAGCAATTCTTAGTTTAGCATATAATTACACAATCTTATAAAATATTGGAAAATAATATTTCTCATTTGGAAATGCTATAATGTATTTCTAATTCAATTCTTTTATGAAGTATACTAATTCAGATGATTAAAATTATGGGAAAAGATTGTAAGCCTTAATATATTTGTAGATAAGATAATTATGAATCGTACAATTTATTATGTATTTTGGAAAAATCACTTTTCTAATTTCATATGTAATTTAATTACTATGGAAGATTAATTTTTCATGAACAAACTCTTGATAAGAAATTTTACCAGGGAGTTCTGGATTTTCTATCACACCCCTAAAATATTTTAATTCTAAAAAATCCCTAATATTGTTTGGGCATGGCACTTGTCTGCCAGCAAACTCAATACTTGACATTGGATGAAGAAATTGCTCTGGAAAATCTTTATTGTTTAAAAACCATGCATCTTTAACCATAGAGCCATTCCTTGCATAAAATGGAAGTATGTTTACAGTTAAATGGTTTACCTTTGAATACTGTACTTTAAAAAATTCTCCTTCTGTTGCCTTTTCCCAGACAAAACCATGATTGTCAGCAATAGGTTTATTCATGGCTTTAATTAACCATGGTGATCTCTCAAGATCATCACGATTTACTCCTATTTGTACTTCATGATCCCATGGTAAGATATCACCATTTCTCATAGCACCAAGTAAAGAGCCACTTTCTAACCAAAATCTGATACCAACTTCTTCTAATTTATCAAAAACATGATGAGCGACTTTTCTCAATCCTGAGAGGCAGCAAGGTGGAGTATATCGATTTTGATAAAGATAAGATGGAATACCATTCACCACTGATCCAAAACACCTATTACTTTCTCTAGAACAGCCATACCACTCTATAGAATTGGAAGCTCTTATAACCTTTTTAATTCCCAATTTTTCAAACATAGACCGTTCGCGACTTTGATATAACTGTTGAACTTTCCATAAGGATTGCTGAGTTTTATATAATGATTTTCCTTCATTGAAACGACAATTCGACAACATATGAATCTGGTAATATGTAATAAATTCTACTAGAATAAATTTTACTTATTATTAACATATGTTTATATATCAAACACTACAAACTGTAGTATTTGAATTATAAACAAGAACAGAAAAGTAACAAGTAAAGCCCTTAAATATGCGAAATTAATAAAATGTTTTTATGGTTAATATAAAATTATTTGAAAAAAATAAATACAAAAGATACAAACCTTTGCACCCAACGCAGTTGTTTGAATGTATAATGCATCCGTAAAAGGTAACAAGAATGGATCGGTTAATTTCTTTAATAATTTTGTCTCAAGCATTGTAGCATGCTTTCCATTTATTCCGTCACATTCATTGCCTGTTGTATATGAAAACTTGAGACTCCATTCTCTTACTTTTACATCTAAATTGACACAATTTAAAGTTACACTTCCTACTGGTACACTTACTACACCTAATTTTGTAGCTTGAGATACAGTTTCCTGAAAAAAATTTCATTTAATGTAGTACTGACTATTGTCCACTTTCAATTAATTAAGACAATTACAAAAGAACAAAGTTACAATAATGTAATAAAGGATAGTAAACTTACTTGCATGATTTGCTTGGTAGAAAGTCTACTACCATCAGGTAAAAATAAAACGTACTTCGTACGTATATAAAATAGTGGATTTCGTTCATCGTAAGATTTATTGAATTCCGGTTGCAAATTTATTAGTTTAACGTTTCGCATGCTCTCGTTTGCAAAGTCCAATTCCAGCGGGGGATATGGTAATTCATTGCTTACTATTAAAATTGGTATAGTAGGGAAAAAAGTTAACACAGACTCTACAGTAGAAGTCACATCATTTTCAAAGGTTTCAAATTGCCGTATAACAACAGTTACTAATCGAGATAATCGCCGATGAAACTTTTGCGATGGATCAGGCGTGACGATACTTGGTGTCAACAACCGCAAAGTGTTTTGAGCCGAGAATAACCTCCATATTCTATGCCATACAATAATATTACCTAGTAGTGCAAGCACTAATAACGTTCTTACAAACTTAAAACGCATAATTATCGCATATTTTGCGAAATCATTGTAGATGAAATCTTCTTTTCTTACATCATTCTCATATCACAACACCTCTAAATTACGTTTAAATGTTTGACAAATCACAATATCTCTGCATATTTCAATTCACTTCCACTCAGCACTACCAATCTATCATTTTCGGGAATTCATTCCTACCATAAGAATGATAATTGAGATGATCTGATTATTATTTAATTGATATTTATTGTATTTTAATAAATTCCTAATACATTCAACTAATCTTTCGCGATAGGAAACGAAGACTTTAATTTGCCCTCGAAAACTATCTGGTGATATTACAAATGTAAACGTTTAGAGTACTGTCTCGCTGTTGTTTTTACATAAACGTCAAAGTCTACGTTCGTAGCATTCGGCGTTTCAATAAAATTAGCAGGAAGACAAGACTCGTTCCTTGATCGTTGTGTTATAATTTTACGTAAACGAGAAGTAGCAAGACAATCGTGGTTCAGATAAACTTTGACAAAAAGAGTCTTTCCACCATGCCTCTTCACCGTTATACTCATGCAGTTCTGTGCAGAATTCCTCTTTCGCTTCGCACAAGAGGCGAGGTCACGTTAGACGAAGCAAGAACACAGCATTTGGCACTTGCTCAACTTCTACGAGAGCTCGACATCGATGTTGTTGAAATGCCACCGGATGAAAATTCACCGCTCTGTGTTTTTGTCGAAGATATTGCAGTTGTGTGTAATGGCATTGCACTCATAGCTCGGCCCAATGAACCGTCGCGCCTAAAGGAGGTACACCTTTTAAATCATACGTTAATTTATAAATTTCTTACGAACTCTCTTGTTGCATTATGATTATATTAGAGAAGTAATAACATTTTAATCTAATCCGTTTTTACATTATTTAAGAGAAAAATCTGAATTAGTAAATATCATTCTAAATATCAATATATATCAGGTATCAAATTTACGAAAACATTGAACAATTATTTTTTTCACATTCGCATAATAAAAATATAGTTTTAATGTATTATTGGATGTATTGACGTTGTTGTGTAATGTTTCCAATGAGTAAGTAACTAAAAAAATGATGATCTAATTCCAGATTGAGACAATTAGAGCTGTTTTAAAGAAGGAGTTAGAAATCCCACTTATAGAGATAGCCGATAAAAATGCTCGTCTGGATGGAGGAGATGTTCTATTTACTGGTAAATTATATTTTCAACATTAAGTTAATACAGACAAAAGTATATTATTAAACAGAAACAACTGATTGTTATTGTTATAGGTCGTGAATTTTTTGTTGGATTGTCTCATTATACAAATGAAGCAGGTGCAAGAGCAGTCGCAGCAGCTTTCCCAGAATATCCGTGTGTACCTATTAAGGTTAGTCAATTATTAAAAGTTAGATTCAGTATTTGTTATAATTTATATAGTTCTATGCTTTTTAATATGTATTATATTAATCTTTCAGTTTTCTATTTTACATAAATCTATTTCTATCTATGTTTATTCTAAGAATATATAATACTGCATGAATTATTTTTGTCAAATATCTCGAAATAAGAAGAAATCAATGTTGTTTGCATATTGGAACTTTATTTAATATTTCTCAACATTTTTTCTATAACATAATATGTGTTGTTAATGAGTATTATGTATTATTAAAAAAATTAAAACATGTGTATTGTAATCATAATAGAACTTTTTTTGTTTTTAGTATTTACATAATATTATTTTTATTATATGTTAAAAATTAGTTTAATGAAATCATGTGTTAATATATGGGTAATTGCATCTTAGATAATTTAATAATTTATAGTCTATGTTACTAGTTGGTTATGAATCATACGTTTTTAATTAAAATTACAAATGTTACCATTTATATTTAAATCATGTTATTATATAAGTCTATACTCACATACGTATAGGTTATACAATATGATTGATCAAAATGAAGATTTAGATCAAACAACTTACTTTTCTGGTATTCATTTAAGGTGGGTGATGGTGGTGAAGAGATGATAGTGGAGAGTCTTACCTCAGCCCCAATTCAGGTTTGGGTGTATTAGACTGACTCTCTTTTGCATATTATATTGAAAAAAAATCTCACAATTTAGAAACACAATTTTGCACGATTTCAACAAATTATATTTTTTACAATTATTCATTACAGATTTTTTAACAGAATGCTTTCAGATGGAGTTTTATATAGAATGTGAGTTATGGCTTGGTGCAATTTTGCACATGAGACTCATATACACTGATACACGAGATCATTTCACTCTCGCACGTGATTCATATTTCTTTGCATAAATTTGTCATATTGCAGATTTTATACAGTGCAACTTCAATCAAATATATATATATAAAGAAATACATATAAAGAAATATCTACAATTATGAAAATTTCATAATTGATTGAAGTTACATTATTTATTACTCTTATAATGCACATTGAATTCATAAATCAAAATTAGTAATTTTGTTAATTTTACTTGATTATTTTTCTTATGCAATGCTACAGAGAAATTACATATAAGATATCCCATCTAATTTGATTATATTAAATATCTTGCTAATTTTTTATATCAAACATTAGATCTTTAATGTCAAGCATTAGATCAACAATTTATGTTAGATCAGATATGAATCAAATATTTGATGACCTGCATGTTAATCAGATCTTATACTTCTAAATTTTTTTCTCTGGGGCATTGAATTCATCTTAATCATACTATGACACAATATAAGGAAAACATACAATCCAATTTAAAAAATTTTGATGGCCTTTTTTCCTATTATAAAAAATAAATGAGATATTTAAGATGCTCAAATTAGCAATGGCAGTCCCTATATATATATATCAGTATTTTTTACTTCTTAGTTCATGTATTGTGTTTATTACAAAAGCTAGCTAACGGAAATGATGCTTAAATCATCAAAATATCTATTTTGTTGTAATGAAAGTATAATTCTTTGATCATTTATATATGAAATAATATGAATATTAGGTATATATAAAGAAAATTATATTAATAATTTGTATATTGTTGCATTTATGATTACAATTCATATATTTTTTGATATTGAAAATATTTGTATTTTTATTTAATTGTTGTTTATAGGTTGCTGAATCCAAACGTCTCAAAGGTTTAGTTACAATGGCTGGTCCAGATATTATTTGTGTAGGTGCTGGCAAAGAATCTCAAGAAGTTTTAAAGGTATTTACTTGTAATTTAAATATCATTATTTTTTACATTTATATATATATATACATACACATTGTTTATAATGCAGAGAATTGAGAGAGAAGCAACTTATAGTTACCAGACATTAACTGTGCCTGAAGATGCTGCAGCCAATGTACTTTATGTGAATGGAACTTTAATTCATCGATCAGAAGATGAAATTCCACAATCAAGTAAAGTTTTTGCAGAAAAAATTGAATTTCCAACCAGATCTTTACGCATGTCTGAATTAGCAAAGGTCAGTTCTGGTTTAACTTCTTGTTGTTTATTGGTGCGTAGACCGAGACATATTCGCAGTATTTAAACTAAGAAATGGAAACCAGAAATCGATGATAACCTAGCAAACGTGTTAAATTGCTAGGATCATATATTGATGTGAATCATAAAATCAAGAATTTAAATATTTCTGATAAGAAATATTACCAAAATGCTGTGCAAAAAACTATAATATTGACGTAGCACGTACGTCGTTTCAAAACTTTAATAACTACTTTAATGAACAGAAAAGATTATTTTATAATTACTTTATAAAAAAAAAGATTATCTTAATATAAAAGAGATTTTATAATTAAGCAAATTAATATATTTGATTTTAACGTATTTACATTAGAGATAATATATTGAGATTTTATTTACCTAATTTGTAGACTTATAGCATATTTTTATCTTGCCATTTATATAATGTTTATCTTTCCGTTTTTAGCTTTATTATGGCAGCATTTATAAATATATATATTTTATATTTTTATGATTTCAAGCATATTCTATGATTGTTTCCTAATTATTATTTTATATTTTAATAATATACAATGAACTCCTACAACAAATTCAATATCAAAATATAGTAATTTATATTGCACAAAATTTCTTTTCTACAAAGACTAAAAATATTTAAAAAAAAATTGATTTATAAATTATATATGTAAATCAAAATGAAGTTCTGATATAGCACAAAAAGAACAAAATCATAAAAATAAAATAAAATTATAATAAATAGACTATGTCTTCTACTTTTTATATTTTGTTTTATATTGTTAAAAATCAGTTATTAAAAATCAATCATCAGTATTCTAATACCTTTGAATGCATTTGCTACTAGTCTATAAAAAGTGTTCACCTAACTATTCAAATAGAATTCTTCTATTCAATTATATACTACAAAGTTAATGATATATAAAAGCACTGATAGTTAAGAGTTAATGTGCTGATTCACATTATAGCGAAGTTACATGGTTAAGAGTCTACTGAAAAGAAGTAAAAGTACTGTATAAGAACAAGTTTCATATATACACAATACATATTACAACAAGCTTAAACTGTTTTGGCAGATTTGCAACAACTGTAGGATATTAATACTATTTACAGTACTATAATATAATTTCTTGATATTCTTTAAAAGTCATGACAATATTAAAATAAGTTTATTATACTTTTATATATTTTGATATGCATGTTTTCATGTTAATCTGTATTAAACGTTTCTTTTGTTTTTGTAATTCTTCATATCTCCTTTTATTACGATTATGTAAATTTTTAATTTGAAGACAATTTCACAACGAATGCTTTACACATTGTAATATTAAATTTACTATCAGTCTGTATATTTCTTCAAAAATTTTCCAGTGTATAAGACTACAAAGTTGTAAACAAAATAAAAAATATATGCTAGATGTTATAGTCTGGTTTTAATTAATTGACCTATCCAAGTGAATGGAACAATATATGTGAATGTATTCACTACTAGTTCATTTAATAAATTTAATAGATTTATTTTAAATATGTTATTACAAAACATTTGCGATGATTTATTAGGAGCAACATAGTATAATTCCTGCTACTTCAGTTTTAATGCTAAACCTAGGACTAGTATTTTTTCTCAAATTTTTATTTTAAAAATTTATATTCACTTATAATTATTTAAAATATAACGATTGTCAATTGTTTTTTAAGTAAATAAGTCAACCATAATGTCTATATATATATATATATATAATTAAAATTTTGAATAATTGTAATTAAATATGCATGTAAAACATGTTATTGGTGATTGTACAATTTACAATGATGTTGTTTATTTTAAGTATTTATAAAGATGCAGTTACTTTTTTACAATTAATGGATGGAAAACATTTCAAAATTTAGGAACAATTATCGTAGAAAATGTATTATTTAAAAAAATAATATAGTCTTGCTATTCATTGTATTCGAATATATTGAAAAATTGATCCTTAGTAAATGCACATGTGAATATAAACATGTGCCATTTTCAGGTCTATAAAGGCCTTATATTGTTTGTTCCTCGGCAGTTCTATTTCTCGTTTTTATCAATTCATTTGTATGCGTATGTAAGATGTTTAAGTAAAACTTTAATTTTAATAATTATTAATGTCATAACGCATAAGTCTTCTTATTTGTTTCTCATTATTAAGAGTAAAAAGTTAAAACAGATGTATGATTGCCTCGGACAAGTAAAAATGGTGGCATATCACGTGTCAAAGTTTCAAGCCAGGCCATATAAAGAGGTGCTGATACAGCACCTTTACGAGGCATTGGCAATGTCCTGAAAGAAGAATAGAATAAAATAAAAATAATTTCAGAGCATAAAAAAAAAGGACACTAGAAAAGTAATTTTATTTATTACATTCACTTACATAACTACTAAATTAGCATCCATCGAATTTTCAAGTAATAATTCTCTTAAACGTAAATGCCTATTTGTTTTTTCTTGCATAGCAATCAATTCAGAATCTTTAATGATACCTGAAAATAAATCGATTTTTATAAATTTTCCAGCATTTCTATACTTGTAATTGAAATACGCGTATAACTGACATAACAATACCATCATCTGATTTTGTATTTTCCGTTTCTTGGAAATTTACTACTAGAGTATTAAAGAAATTTTTAGTAGTATCTTGTGCTGGTTTTGAAATATCTGGTATCACTTTCAATGCGGAATAATCTATTCTGAATTTCGACAAAAGACTTGCCATGCTAACAATAAAACAATAACAATATTAATAAATTTCTTTTAAGCTTTTTATCTGTAGAAATACATGTTACATACTTACTTTCTTTGTTCATATTCGAGCTCTGAATTTTTATTAGCAAGGGCAAAAACTCTTAGTTTACTATTAGACCAATTACGTCTTGTACTAATTATGTAAGGTAGCAAAAGGGTTAAACCACCATCATCATACAACCACCATACATCGATTGTACCCTTTTTTTGTTTACGTTGGAATTTTGTTACGGTGTTAAGTATATCTTTCGCTAGAGGTAGATTCTGTCGATTTTCAGGTTGATCCTTCGCAGTTGGATTAGGATATTCATTAATTACTTTAGATCTTCTTGGAGCCGGACTTCCGGGAATAGAAATGTCGGACGTGCTACTAGCTGTAGATTAATTAATATTAATTTAAGAAATATGATTATAATAAAAATTATAATAAAAATGTTTATGAAAACATGATTTATTCTTTCAAACCTTGGCTAAGTTGAGAAAAACTTTGATTTCCTGGAATTGTTTGCGTATTTCTTTTTTGTTCTTCAGCATCTCCTACAACTGTGCTACAATCTAAACCCTCGCTTATCCGAAGAAGTGCTACTGCTATATGCATATCCAAAGCTTTGCTATGTAAAGAAAATGTTTTCATGAAAGCTTCTTTTCCTTTAATTATAATATCATAATTGTAAAATACCTACTGCATTACATTAAAGTACATGTTCAAATTTTCTCGAGGACAAGTTGCCCAGTTTTGTTTATAGCCCATCAACAAAATATTGGGCCTCATTTTTCCCAAGCCAGAGGCTTGCAAAAGAGAAGTAGTACCATCTTGAAAATTTGCACCATCCACCAATGAATAAAATGCCTTAATTTTATTTGCTCTAAGCCAGGAAGTGCAGTTCGCGATCATAGAGTTGCGCGTTTTATATGATATTGGTGTCTAAAATACAGGAAAATGTATTAAACATTTATATAAAAGATGTATGATATTTTTTCACCGAAAAAAATATTAGTACCTCGATAATGTGACCACAAATAAATAAGCTATTATTTTTAGTAATATGATGTGCAAAATCAATAAGTGCTGATCTTGCATTTGGAATGCCACTGAGTACCAATAATTGAGGTCTGTAGTTTTTAACATGTTCTTCAACTCTATCTAATTGTTGGACAGCATTTAAGGCATTATTGTATGTTTGAGCTTGTGTCGTAGAACCCCAATTTACATCTGCAAAATAATTTTTATGTCACTGTGACATTATCATATCATTAAATGCTTATAAAATATTACCTGGCTTTCTGTACGAGACTACTAAATAAAGCGCTAAAACTACAGATAATGTGATTAATGCTGTCCACCATGAGATCAAGAACATCACAGAAACACAGAGAATAGAACCAGCAAGACTTAGCCACATATTGTAATACTAGAATAAAAAAAAAATATACAGAAAATCATATTATCATTTCTCGTTAAGAAAATAACTTAATGCAAAGTTTACCTTAAACGTTGGTCTCCAACCGATTGGTTTAGCCAACGAAGCATGAAACGTGCTAAAGTTAATGAGAGTATAGGCAGCTAGAAAGAAATTTGAGATCAAGGGAGCAATGGCATTCAATTCTCCTAAAAGTGAATTTTTTTATTTTAATTATGACAATTAACAACAGTGAATAATTTATTTTTATTTATTCAAAATAAGAAAGTGTAACGCTAACCGATTAAAATGAAACCAACAGCGATTATAAATGTGAGAAAGTAACCGCGAATTGGTTCTTTATTTTTGTCACCGCTGAACCATTCTATTCCAGGATACAATTTATCAAGACAGAGTGCCTGAAATACTTTAGGTGCGGAAACAAGTGATGCTAAGGCACTTGATAAAGTAGCTGCAAAGCATCCAGCATAAATAAATGGTCCAAACGCAGAAACCAATTCAATCACCTGAAACATTCATAGAGAATTGTCAGCATAAAGATTTAATAATCCATTTGCATCGCTTGCAAACATTTAGAAGGAATACCTGAAAACTATTGTGGCTACCATAGGGACAATTCCCTGTACAATTAAATTTCGTGCCATACATGCTCCATACTATTTCGCTGGTGTTTACAGTAGCAATTGAGGACTTGGTTGTTTCGTTAGTCATGTTTAAGCTCGATAAGCTGGTATATGAACTATTGAAAATGTTCCACAGATCGTTAACATCGCCAGATGCGTCTCTCACAACTGCGCCCCCCACCATAAACGCCATAAATATGTAAGACGTAGTTGTTAAAAGAATAGCCAACAGTGTCCCTTTGGGAATAGCTGTTTGTGGATCCTGTTAAAGACAGAAATTCTCCATATAGATTACAAATAAATCTACGTTCGTCGTTAATGCTGCAATTAAAAGAAAATTATTGATTTTGAGACAAATGACACGTCGTTACGCAACATTAAAATATGATGACTTAAATCCGAAAGGTTGATTAATGGAATCTTAACGGTTAAAACGTTAGAGAATGTTCTTTGTAAAGGAAAGGACTGAATCACCTTCAAATCACCGGATATATTCGCACCTGCCAGGATACCTGTAGCCGCAGGGAAGAAAATAGCCAAGACTGAAAAAAAATTATGCTCCACCCCCTCGCTGTATCTGTAGTCTGAATGAAAGTTCTCTTTGAACAGATCACCTGTGGACGTAAGATAAAAAAAAAGGGGGAAAAATAAAAGCTTGAAAATATTTTACTTGCTTTATATCGTAATTAACAATTTACTGTCTCTTGAACAAAAATTACTATTGCAGGTATTACCGTTGTATCCTATGAAACCTTTAGCTCGTTCCTGATCATCTTTAGGCCCAATAAATGTGCCAATCATGAAATCGGCGATGGCGAAGAGTAAAATAACCAGCAAACCAATCTGAGCCTTTGCCTCCCATTCCAAGCCGATCATAACGATCAAGAGTAACAAAACTATCGTGATACAGCCTGTGCGAAAGGAAACACGTAAGAAATTCTGTTCGTGTGAAAAGATCGTGCACGATCTCTTATACCGACCAATAATTCTGATGTCCGTATTGTCACAATCAACGATACAAATCCCATTTGCCTTCAAACAGTCGACCATGCTTTCGCAAAATCCAACAACGTACATCGAACAGGCGACTGCGTTTGCCAAAGAAAATATAAGTCCTATAGATCCACCGAATTCCGGTCCGAGTGATCTGGAAATCATGTAATAGGTGCCACCTGCGGGAAGTAATTAATCTTATCGGCTGAACAGCAGAACAATAACAATAGAAACTTAAAAGTGTAAATCGACATGGACGCGCAAATTCTTGAAAAAAAAAAAAAAAAAGAAGTAATAGTAAGTTCGAATCGACGATGCGTTGACGCATTCGCTGATAATTACCTCCTTTAATGAGCCCATTTGTGCTAATCGCCGACATCGACAATGATGTTATCGTGGTCACAGCTGTCGTTGTTAAAATCAATAAAATAGCTTCCCCTAAAAAAAGTGCAGAAGACAATGGTGCAATAATGGTAATCGGATCTACGAGATACGTTGTATCATTTCTTTCTAAAGTTCATTACCTATGCCAGCTTGTGCTACGACCCAAGAGAGTCGTAGAAACAGCATCACCCCCCAAATATTGAGAAGACATCTCAACAAGACTCCTTGAATCCATCCGAATTTGATACCGGAAGTCGGCTTCACGTGCGCTATCGGCAACGTATGCGATCCTGAGCTCTAGGACAGTAAGGCGAAACATCAGTTCAAAGTCGATTTTTAAATCTGTCGTTCGATCGGATTTAAAGCGAAGCAGAAGTACAGCAACGACGTTCTACAATTACTAGTTATCTACTTCGTTCAAGTTCAAGTTAAATCGTCGTTCCGCACACTGGTCGATGACTGGACGAGTTTCCACGATGACGAACGCGTTTGCTTCACTTTCGTTTCTCCGGCTCTGTTCGAACAGGCGTCAGCGTTTAATTGACGAAATTAAAACAGGCTCGGCTGAATTTGCCGAGAGATTCGTAGATCTCCGTACGTGAACGTTACGCGTAAATTGAGATTTAGAGGTGGTTATCGGCATTGAAGGTGATTCGTCTAGAGGAAGGGTCGCCAGTCGACCAATGAAGACTAACGATTTACGTAACAATGCCTCACATGTCATACGTTACATGTCGCCCAATGTTGAGATACATTTTTAGGAATCCAGCATATGGGGATATGGACGATTACGCTTAATCAGCAAACAGTTCGTTCGCGAATTAAAATGATATTAATAATAATAATAATAATAATAATAACAACAGGGACGATATCTGTCTAACGTAATAAACGCGGTAGATGAAATTAGAAGACTGAAAGCCTAAATCAACAGAAATTGTCACGAAGTCGAATCCGTCGAGCGAACGTTGGTTCGTTGGTATAAACTCTTCGGAGTCGAACAGTGCATGAAAATCAAACGAAGCTTAAAGAACATCCGTCTCTCTAAATACGTACGAATCTGAACCAACAAACGTTTGCGGAAGCTCTAGAAACGCATCACTTGTGTAAACACTAACCGAATTATACCCTCACTGATATCATGATTTGCCAACGAGTAGAGAAGCAGGGGATTTGGAATACGAAAGTGAAATACTTTCTGCATTGTTGGTTGCCTGGATCTCACTTCGCGTTTAGTTTATTGCAATTTCCTCTGGCTAACGCGACAATTTTTTTTTCCAACTGTCAGTGCGCCGAAATTATTTGGAGAATAGTAGCACGAATATCCGCGGTTCAAGGATACCTTCTTGCGAGTATGCTCAACTAGCTTGTAACTCTTAGAGAGACGATTATTTCATCCCATTATTTCCCGTTATATCCTCGAATATCGTGCCTTGGAGTCCGGTATAATTGTAAAATTATTCTTACCGCATCTGCACGGAGCCAATCCAGCGGCGATTATTACCCTTCGTAATAAACGTGGCAAGAATGTTCCTCAAATTGATCAAATAAATTCAACTACTCTGACACGAGGCTTGAAAAAAAAAAAAAAAAAAATTACTACCAAATAAAATTCCACGCACGAATCGAATAAAATTTCCAATTCTCAAACTCTCCGTTTTTTTTAACGTCGAGATTCGAACTACAGAATTCAACGAGACTTCGAATATCAGTAATTTTTGATCTTTCTAAAGAAGAAAATATGCTCGCATCGTTTAACCTAATCCAACGATACATGCGACAATTTCTTTTTTTCCTTTCTTCACGTCACAATTTTTTGATTAACGAGAGAAAATTTCTCCAATGTTTCTCTCGTTTTCGAATGTTACTGCACTTCCATTCGATTATCATACCTTGAAGTCGTGCGACGAGAAACGCCTGGTCTTTCTCTTCTTCAAACGAGCACATTACAAAGACGCACAGTCTCTCTCTCTCTCTCTCCCTCTGTTCATTGTTACAGATCATGCACGTAAGTACTTGCGACGCGTGTAAGTGAATTACGAGCGCGTTGCATCGGAAGAAAGAAAAAAGAAAAAAAAAAAAAAGAGAGAAGAAGAGCCGAGAGGAGAAAAGAAACACTCGCTTCTCGCCTACTGGCCACATACACACTCTTTCATACTGACACCGTCCGTACGATACGTGGTGTAATAGTCAAATAATAACGAACGCTTATCCCTCGACTCGTAATGTATTCGGAGCACGCGTTTTACTGGTCCTATCGACCGTCATCATTAACTCATGCGTGGCACACAATTTGGATTCGCGAGTGATATCTCAATTTTCTTCTCTCTGTCTGGTCTCACCTCGCTGTTGCGTACGCTTTCCTTGCGATACGATCGATCCAATCGAACAAAATCTTTGGCACGTCGATGGATACGACGAAGAAGTTTCTCAAAGAACCAAGGATGAAGACAAACAGACAAACGAAGTATGCAGATGAAAATAAACATAGATAGATACACATGCGATAAATGATGTAAACCGGGCAAAGTAGATTGATGCCTCGTACTGAGACAAAAGTGCCGTTGCGCTTGCACAAAGATATTAATTTCTCGAATAAACGGTGCAATTTGCCGGAGCGTTGCGTAGCGGATGAGACAGCCTCGTGGCATTTGCGATTCACTTCAAGCGATGCTTTAAGCTTTAATTGTTCGACCGAACGTGGGGGGCTCTCTCTACTTTAACCCGCTGCGAATCACCAGAGATCGTCTGCGTTCCCTCACGCGATTTCTAAGATTTCGTGGGATGAATCGCGTAATCGATCCCCGCGAAAGAGACGCGACTTACGTACGTACGAATGCAACGTTCGTTCGTACACGTTTACCAGTGCCGATCGCCGATAATAACTTTCGCGCCGTTTTGTAAAAGACTTGCGTTGCTAATCAGTTCTGTCGATTCGCCGATGTTTGCCGATCTTTTAATTAAAATCCTCGTGAGAAACGCATTTAGGCAGTCAGTTTTTACTTCACAAGTAAAACAAATATAAAAGAAAAATCATTAAAAACTCTATGTGTAATACAATTAAATGAAAAAAAAGAAAAAGTTTTCTGACGTTTTAGTTATGAATGAAAGACGTTTTAGTTTCCATCTGTTGACATTGGCCAGAATGACCAATCTAGATAACTTGTGCACTGCGCTTTCTCTCAACTCTTACATTGCACTCCGACATTCTTTTCTTACTCTGTCCTCATTGGAAAGTTTTCGTTCTGTCACGTACAAAAAACGCTCCCCTTTCTCTCCCTTTCTCTTCGAACGCGGACCTCAACTTCCTCGAATTATCCGCGAAACGTGAGGTTTCATTCGAACGTGGCTCGCCCTAATCGATCCGATTGCGATCAGGGCGATCATCGCGCGAACACGATTGTATCCGAAATTTATTTAGGTTGAATTGTAGTTAACCCCGTGTCAGGGGCAATCTGCATGATGGATTTAAGTCGTTACGGTCCTACGGTTATGCCGGACATATCATATTTCGTCGTGGCAATCAGTTTAGCTGCGCTTATATTTAGCTAAGCGCGCCAATGAGACTTATTGTTGATAAAAATCTTGCTGGCTCGATATCGTCCTATCATTACGATTTCATTGCTAACATTCTACGGCCAGAAACGTGGAAACTTGTAACTGTCGTGTAATTTCAGACGAGGGTTTCAGATCGAGAGAGAGAGAGAGGAAGGGAGAGTTTCAATTCGTGATATTTTCAGACGATACTCTTGCACAATAAAATGTACAATTAAAAAACCCTGTCGTTTCTAGAAGTACTTCGTAGAACTTGGTATATTTACATCGTGCTGCTTCTTATTTAGTCGTTAAGTATCAAATCAGATTCGTTTAAATTCAATACTAGTTCACTTGGTTCAATACTAGTTCAAGCATAAGTAGTAACGGCGAACAAGTGTTCTGAAAGAACGTAGATTCATACCGATCGTAGATTCTTCGAAAAGTACGCGACGTCGAGGTTGTTTCTCACTATGTTGCAAATATATGTCTTGTAATTTGTCGGTGAAAGAAGGACATAGTTAAGGAAAAAATGATACTTAACAAAGCGAGTAGAGTGTACCACGTAAATAAGACATGATTATATATCACTTTCTTCAATCACAGACAACTTGTTAGATGTTAAAGAACAAACAGAAAATACAAGAAATTGTAGATAATTAATTTTCATACGATGTGTACATATATGTCGGTTCGATATCATGCTGAGCAACGTGTACGTATCAAAATATTTATAGACCACCAACTGTATCCTGTACTATTGAAAGAGAGAAAGAGAGAGAGAGAGAGAGAAAAGAGTAATATTATCGCCATTTCCACAGTAAATTTTGATTAATGCGATCGTAAATATTACACCGCTTCCATTAACTTGCTCTTATTTCCGAAGCGGGAAGTGCCGCCATATGACTCAAAGAACACACAGATTCAGCAACTAGCAATAAAAAGTCAGACGTACGTTCAATATTGACTTTTCATAAATCGTCATTCCGATTCTTCTCACCCTTCTAGCGACCCTGCAAAATCGTTCTAAAGTTTTCTTTTCTTTTCTCACAAATGGCTCAATCGTTGATGTGTGCATGTGCGTTTTCATCAGGAAGCATATAGATCTGACTGATGTCGAGTACTCGGTGAACGCGTGCACAGCCATGTTTACTACACTCGGTTAATTTTAGATCAGAGTTAGTTGACGAGAGAGGGTCGTAGATAAGGGACGAAGCCAGCTAAGAAATGGGTGAATGTCAATGTACACCGTACAATATCGTCGTGCATGTGCTCGTACCATGTATCATTGGCCGTCGACATCATCGTATCACTAATTTCAATCAGGAAGATATTCTGTGACGTTGAAACAGCGAGCACACAGGCTCTCAGAAAAGTGTTTAAATGCTTGTGGAAACATATTATATATTTCGAACGTATTGTACGTGTTGTTTGTGTTATGGTGAAAACTGGGAATGTAGGTTGCGAACATACATTTCAGAAAAGAAAATCGTAAAATATGATCAAGGCAGCTATTTATACTACATATAGATACTAATTTTTTATGTTTATAGTGGGCTTTTAACTTGCTCACACATTTCCAAATTGGCATCAGGTTTTGTCAATATAATCAGAAAACTCGTGTTAATGAAATCTCATAAAATGTTTCATGCACACAGGTACATGTAATATATGAATAAAAATTTTAATTTAAAATCATCAAAGATTTTCTGACAAACGTTTGAACACTTTTGTGAGCTAGTCTATACGTATGTATACACTTTGAAAGTTCTCCGATGATTTCGAAGGCTCGAACTGTTAGTTAAACGACGAAGGGGAGACTTTTCGAGTGACCCACAGTCTTTTTTCCACGGGATGGTGTCTCATTGATTATAGTATTCCACGACTTTGCCAGTTGCCTAAAATTTCGGCTCCAAACGAAGCGCCTAACGCACTGAGTCACCGACAAACTACAAGTTGATTTATCGATGTAATTGTTATTTCGCAATGCGAGCAACGTTACGTAAAAATGACATCAATTCGAATTCTACCTACCTACAGTTAAATTGATCTCACCCTAACGGCCAAGAGAGACGACTGTGAAAATCTTGTGCAAACAACAACTTCCCTACGATTCGTTAAACAATAAATAATGGGCAATAATGAGTTACTCCTCCGTCTGTCAGAGAACATGACATCGAAATGAAACAACTTCTAAAGACACGTGTCGGATGCTCGAAAGAAATCAACGAAGGAGAGAACGCCAAGTGCGTAACATCGCACATCGCCGTGATCATAATGAACACAACTACCGACGCATTATAAGACAAAGAAACAGCGGTCCTATTAACGGTCAAGTATCATCATCCTTACCTTGTTAAGCAGAGTGGGATTGTGAAGCTCGTCCAAAGACGGTCTATGAGCAGCTTGGATACTCATAATGTTTCTATAATTATCCAGCCTAGGGAGTGCTTCCCTCGTCATGTGCCTGAGAGACTTTCTCGTTTCTTGTTCGCCAAGAAGACTGGCACGACCTTCCAGACTGTCCACTCTATTCACGTGGAACCTGGTCCTTCTCAGTGGATTCAACTCCACCGTCTCGGAATCGGTATCGCCGTTTATGCCTCTTTCGTGCGCCATTTTTCCCTTCGACACGTCCTCTTCTTCTTATACAAGCAACACTTTTACGAACTTCCTCCACCGCCGACGATGTAATTGACGACGATCGGCGGCTTCGGCAACGGTCTGGAAATCGGCGAGCTAAACGATTTTTGGACCGTGTAGACGATCGGGGGAAAAGCTATTCGGCCTGTATTGCTTCCGCTTCGCCGCGATTTCGCCGATTTATCGACTCACCTTTGAAATTGAAATTCTCTATTAGCAATTGGCTTACAATCGTGAATGTGAAGTTTCAGTTCTCCAGAGGCCTTTATCGTAAAGAAGACTTGTTTCTATTTTTATCGGGAGGATAATGATCGACAGCTGTTTTATATTGCGTAGTCAAAGAAAGTTCGAAGTTGCAATGACTTTTTGTGCAAATTCACAGTCTTATCAACGCTATTAGATTCGTCGATTGCAATAGAAGTTAATTTGTTTTATATAAATCAATCGCTGAGAAATCTTATTTTTGCGGAAGTGTGACTAACCGTTCGAAAGTTCTGAAATACGTGACTGAAGAACCTGTGAGAGAAGCTACGAGGATTTTAATCGGAGGGAAACGACGGTGACTATCACCTGCAAATGTCACTGTAGATTCCAAATTGATCGCGAGAGTAATTAACAAGCAATAAGCTAAGTGGAAATCTGTATTCGCAGCATTCCGTGGAATCGGCCTGTCTTAAAAATGATCGGCGCCCGATGCCCTTGGTTCCCCAGTTACAATTAGTTAACAACTGTCGCGTGGGCTTGTCAATTATGAAATTACCCTTGTTTACAACACTCTACACATAATTACTAGGCTCCCGACGGGTTAATGCATGAATGATCTAGTTATCGAATTAATCGTTCCTTCTAACGCCGTAAAAAGGTAGTTTCCTGGCTGGAGTAGAAACTATGCTGCTACGTACGCGAGCCGAGAAAAGAATGTCTCCCAATACTTTCGAAAACTTCAAATTAATAAAAATAAAGACGTTGCTTCGCGATACTCGCGATTAATGAATATTCTACGATTTATTTAATAGTAATTTATTTAATTTAATAAATTAAAATTAAAATAAATTAAATTAATTTATTTAATAGTAAGAGCGAAGAAAGCGGCGGACTAACAACGTTCAATGCTGTACTTTAAATGAACAACTACTTCGCGGCGACGTTTCATAAGCGATAAGTAATTATCCTGACACTGCTTCGTATGCAGTTTCTTCGTTATTTTATCACAATAAATATTTTATTACCTCGAGGACGAATCATTATTTAATATATTTTTAATAAACTACGTTATTGGCAACTGAAACATGTAATACGTGTTACACTACAGATATCGATAATGGAAAAATACACGAACAATAAATTTCACGCTCTTAGCAATTAGCTCCGATTTAAAATCAGAACAAAAACTGAATCTTAAAGGGAATTAGTAGTTATCAATCAACGACTTTTTTTTCTTTCCTTGCAACGACAAAAAAAATTTCAGAGTAGCTCGGAATAAGTTAAATCGACTAATTGTCGCGAGGATTGATCCCAATTAATTAATGTCTGAGTACATCATTCTAAATTTACGTAAGTTCAAAAGTGTTATTTGCATTTTTAATGACGATTCGTCAAACTGTATCATTTCGGAGTAGCTGCGATCGAAAAGTTAGCATATGAACTTGAAGCTGTTAAATAATCGTCTATCATTAGATTCATGTAAAAAATATTGTGGAATGAATAATTTTATACTTATTGATTCTTTATGATCTAAAATTTCAACTAAACTAAAATTCTTAAAATTGTTATAACAAATTAAAAAAAAAATAGTTCAAGTAAACTTGCAATAGTTTCAGATAAATTGATAGAAAGATTAGGTCAACAAACAATTGATTTTTTTAAAAATCAACTTCGATACATGTAATCTTTTGATTGCATTTAATAGCGATCGAATAATTATTCCTACTGATTTCGAGTATTAAAATTAATTTGAATTCAATTATTCAGTGAAAGAAAAAAGATGTGAAATTTAAAGGAGACACTGGAAGTCCATATCAGTCGTATTTCATAGTGTTCATAAAAACGTTTGTGATAACACAGCGTAACAAACATACTCATAAACTCACTTCAAATTTCGACTGTGTTCATGTATGAATAAAATAAAATTTTTTCACGTTTATTAATCTATGTTGGAAAATAAAAAGAGGAGAGTCGGTATATTGTCATTGCTTGTCGCAAATTTCACTTCACGATTGATCATAATTTATTCGTGAAAATTCAAAACTCCAAATAAGACAGATCAATCATCGTGTAACAACGTGCACATATGTGTGAAATCTACGCATCAATATCGAAACAGATTAAATTAATCGTACGCAAGTGTTAAAAATTCTTTTAAAAATTTAAGAAATTAATTAATCCTGATGCTAATGCAAGAATTCAAGGAATATTGCGATAAATTTTCATGTTAAAAAAATATATATATATAAAATCTTTCTCATGTTAGAAAGACACTAATTTGAAGGAACGTCATGGGGGTTACAGAAACGGAGCCAGCTCACCCCACAGAGCGTCGACTTTTATTGCAAATAGAATCTAACGTCTCGTTGCGTTATTCTCATAAATAAAATAGGGGGGAAAGACCGGTAGAGACACGTGTCTTTCACTCGGAAACGAATCAGTTGCAGACGAATGAAAAGGAGCAGACATTTTGTCCTTCACCTTCTTTCTCAGCCGCGTAAAAGGGATCTCGAGTGGAAGAGTATCTGTCAGGTATTCGATCCCCCCATAACCTCACACCATGAATATTCACGCCTTTGAGCTGTTCTCACATCTGCCCATTCGGTATGGAACGACGAACTCTAACATTCGACGTTTTTCAAAAATGCAGGCGACCGCATCTCAGCTGAAACGTAGAAACCGAAGCCGGCAACTTTTCAACTATTACGTCCACAATTACAGTACGATGCGACTATCTCTTCTGTCACTGGATTTTCACTGTACGTGAACTGACACGGTACGTACACTCGTACGTAGCGTAGCCGTAAGCACGTGCCGCTTCTGTCATACGTGCTCGTGCGATTTCTCAGACCCGCCACTCCACGACACGTCCAACCGTCACAAAATCCCGAATCCTACTGACGGAACATCGCACAATTCCCCTTCGCTCTAGCCCATTTGCGCGCTCGCGTACATGAATTCACATGTAATCGTACTCGTATCGATGCGTATGCACACGTATGTACCTTTACACGCATACCACGAAGATCGCAATGCACGCGTTATTTTCCAAGTACTTGCATACTTCCTTACAGAAATTTTTCGTTACTTATTCGCTGCCAAAGCACTCTCCTCTCTCTTCTTCGAGAAATTTGTAACCTGTATTTTCTTTTTTTTTTTTCATTTGTCAGAAATAATTTCTAAATTTCAAGTCATTTGAGATATTTAATTAATATCACAAACGCAAGGAAACATATTTAAACTCGTTTCGACATAAAATAGCAATCAAGTGAATCACCATAAATGATTCTTTCTATAAAAAAAATTAGTTTCTCATCTTCTATAATTACAATCATTTCTCTCGTAATCCCCAAAGTAAAACAAATTGTAAAATTTGATACATTATTATTTTTATATTTTGTATAAGATTAAATATATTCTTACCGAATTCAACTGTAATAACTCAATAATCTCAAGATTCAAAATGATGACTTTATACTTGCATCAACACGTGTCGTGCAGAGATGAGAAGTTCCCCGAAAGTGTCACGCAGAACAAACAAAACCTAGGGGGTCGGTTACTAAGAGAAGGAACTGCTTCCTTTGCTCTTGCATGGAACTTTTCATTTTTGTACATAGATACAGCTATATATAACTGAAAATATACAATTAGCAATTCGTCAGTAGGTAGTACTAAAGATGAAATTTTTGTAGCAGATGATTTTATATATAATGTAAGGTTATAAAGGATATAGAAGATGGAGTGTATTTCGTTTCATTCTCAGAGTCATAGCCAGATTCATCAATAGGGCTGATGCCGGCGACCCCTAACCTCAGACGCTCGGTTTATTAGAAACCTCTAGCTTGGGACAAGAAACGGCACCCATCCTAGAGATATTCCGCACGTTGCACGCTCAACCTAAAGATTGCACTTGATCCTAAGCCGAGCGGCATTCACTTACGATTTGTAATATTCGTGTCTTTGGAACTGGTATACCAAAGACTGGATGTGCTAGCCGTTAGAGGTATTAAAATATTAGCGTCGCGTAGCGGTGAAACGGTAGAACTAATTTATATTGTTGTCCTTGTCACACACTATCCCTCTCCTTGTCTACGGCGCGAATATGTCTGTCCTTGTCACACGCCATTACTCTCCTTGTCTATCGCGTAGATATGTCTGTCCTTGCCTCACGCTATCGCACTCCTTGTCTGCCGCACAGATATATCTGTCTTTGTCGCACACTATTGCTCTCCTCGTCTACCGCGGCTATATGTCTGTCCTTGTCGTACTCTGTTGCTCTCCTTGTCTACCTCTAACATTAGACAAGGAGGGCACTAGCGTGCGACAAGGACAGACATATCTGTGCGATAAACAAAGAGAACAACAGAGTACGATAAGAACAACAATGTTAATTATTACCTATCCTAGGGGTGATCCACACGGTGCATGCTTAAATTGTGTTGTTGATTAAAATTTCATTCGCCTAAATTTCGTTATATATAGATGTCGCGTGAAAGAAGAATGAATAGGTCAATTTTTAATATTATTTCTAACACAATAAAATATGATATTGCAATACATATTTATATAGATTATTGTATGTTAAGTTTAATTAATTTAATATATAACTTGAATGATAAAGGCTATTATGCAGAAATATACACGTTAGTTACTAATTATTCAATTTTATTACTTTTTTATATTTTATATTTATTGGTTTTATATACATTAACAAAATTGTATAAAATATAATTATTCATATTATCAAAAGTATATAAACAGATAATAATGCTTTTTTTTTCTTACTTTAACGCAAAAGTTTTCGTCTCGAAAATTTTATTACTTACAGATTTTTCCAATAGTTATTCTAAAAAAAACAGTTATTTCAAAATCAAAAAAATAACAGTAATTGAAGATCCTTCGAAACTAAAAAAATTTTCAATTTTTTAAATCGCATAAAAGATTCACGTTTAAAGATGCACAAAAATTAGTTACATGCAATTATATTTTTGTGTGTAACGTTCAAATGAGAGCACTAGAAATTCTAATTTTATAAACTTAATTATTGCTAAATCCGCTGAACACAAGTTCAATCGCCGCTATTACATCATGATTTGTGAGATGTAATGCTCGAAGATTCAACGTATCGTTTTGGAGTCCTAATTCGTGCATTTGCGCTAACATTCGTCGTAAATCCGAAGAACGTGGTAAAACGGATGGTGAATGAACTTGTTGCATAGCTTGTGTAAACATTTCTGTAGTTATTATTCCAGAATTCGTGCTGCCAGCCGAAGTGGAAGAAGGAGAATTGGAGAGGGGAAAACTTCCAGCTCTTGCTCTAGAAACTGCTGCTGCAAGTTGTGCAACAGTCACCGTAGAATTTGTTGGATTAGAAGATAAATTTGGTGTTTGTGTAGAATCTGAAGATTGGGAAGAATCTCCTGCCATTTCTTCATCGCCGCTTAAATTGTCTAAAGTATAAGAATAAGCAGCAGATTGTGAATTAAATAACGAAGAATTGGAGCCAAGGGTCACATTGTTATGTGCTTCAGCATGAACAGCTGCAGCTATATTTTGTGCAGCTTCCACCAAGACTGGATGTGCCTCTGCAAATCTACTCATACAATTAACATATGTAATAATTTTATAGAATTATAGTTTTAAAACATGCATCTTTTTTTTTAGAATTTACCTTCGAACAGTATCTACATCTGTGAAATATGACATCAAATCAGGGTCTTGTAAAATTGCAATTGCTACGGTATCTTCGTGCAATCCAGGAGAAGATGAGATGATATTATCCATAACTTCTGGTTTTTTACCTATGCGCTAAAACAAACAGACTTTATATTCTCTAATAAGATCATTAAGATATAATAAGTTATATAAGTGTACAGTAACCAATGTACATTTAAAGCACTTCGAAGTCCAGGATTCTCTTTGAAAGACTTAAATGCAGACACTAGCTGTAAAATTGCATCTTCTGATATATATTTAGGAAACGATGGCAGTTCTGGTTCTCTTTTTCTTAAAACATGTATCATTGAGCCATTTTTCAAACCATACGATTCTAGAGTCATATCATCTTCAAGAACATACCCACAGTAAATCAATTCTATGGAAAAATAAAATAAAACATGTCAAAATACTTGAATTTCAAATATATCTATGGTATATCTAAATAATTTAGTAATTATTTTAACAAAAATAACAAGCATATGCGTATCTCTTTTATGGTATATCATTATTATTACGTTATTGTTTTCGTATTAAAAAATCTAGAACACTAGTTCAAAAAAAATCAGAACAAAAAGAAATAAAGAAAACATCATCTCACCAAATAAATCTTTTGATAGGTTAACTCTCCCAGCTGTCTCGTATTTCAGTTCTTCAACTTTCGTTTTAAAATTAATATCGTTTAATTTAATGGTAGAGAATGTTTGAGGATCTAAACGTACACCCAAAATCAGTTCTGAACTCATTATTGTCACTGAGAACCAACAAAAACACAATACGATATTGTAGTTTTAAATCGATACACTCTTCGATTTTACAAAATCATCATGAAGCGTTTAACGTGCTGTTCCTTGTATCATTTTATCAGTTCTGCCTTCATGTTGATCTGTAACCATTTTACAGAGTATTTTTAATTGATTGAAAATGATAGTATCTTAACTATAATTGGTTCTAATATTTTATTATTACAAACGACTTTTTAATGAGAATAAAATAGGTTTGAATGCAAAACCGTATTACACATTCGAACTGTTGTAAGTAAAAAAAAGACTATTAATTATAAAATAATTATAAAATAATCGAGTCGTAAAAATTTACGTGACCACCAAAGTATAATTCTTCTTTACTTGAAATTTCAATTATTAAAATCTACGTCATATGAATAACATCTTTAAAATGTTTCAGATCGATAAACAGTTTCGATGACTCGATGTTCGGCACGTTCAGTATATCGATATTTTTTTGCGATATGACGTTACCTACGCTGTTATTTGCAATATGACGAAAAAGTTCAGTGAAATGTTTGCGATAAGTTTTCATAGCTGACATTCAGATAAAATTTTTTAATGTTGTGCAATATACAATTTTGATACAATATAAGAAAAAGCAGAGATGCAAGACATTTGTGAAAATATTCGTACAGCTATTGAACATGGACGTACTGACATAATTAGATCCCTTTTAGATGCTTGTACGTGTTACATGTTATTTTATATTACATTTAAATTTTATACAATTGTCACATAAACTTATTAATAAAATATTTTTATTGAAAATAGAGCAACAGCGTGAATAAAAACATACCATATAAAATAGATTATAATTCATGTATAAAAGCCTTCAAGTAATAATCATTCAAATTTTTTATATTATTCTTATGATAGGTGAAAACGGTAATACTACCGATAGTATAACAAAGGACAAAATTCTAAATCAACCGCTTTTAGAGGAAGGTACTTTCCTTTCATACGCTTCAAAGGTAATTATGTGTAACGTATCATAAGAAGCAAAAAAATTTGTATAAATTTTTTCTTTCTAATTCATTTATGAAACTATAGGTAAATCAACCAGATATAGTAAGGACATTATTAAGTTGTGGTGCTAATCCAGCTGTTCAAAATAGTAACGGATATAATGCTGTAGATGTTGCATCAAGTGATATAATACGTCGTACTTATATTGAAGAGTTATTAAGAGCAACTGCTGCATCTGAGTATGTGATTAATATTTCTAATAACTATATAATATTAAAATATTTTTACATACAAAGGTATGATTATTTAAAGGTTAGAGAGAGTATTGCAATTATTAGATGCTGGAATAAATGTAAATTCATGGGATTCCCATGGTAGTAAAAATACTCCTCTGCATTGGGCAGCTTGTTATGGAAATAAAGATATTGTCACATGTTTAATTGGTAATATATTTCAAAAATATAAATTTTGAAAAAATTATTTATTACTTTATAACTTGAAGAATATAATTTTTCTATAGACAGAGGAGCAGATGTAAATGCTGTTAATGGCTGTGGTGCTACGCCATTGCATGATGCAGTAAATCGTGGTGATGTTGCTATTTGTCAAGAACTATTAGAAGCTGGTGCAAATCCCCTTGTACGAGCAACTAAAGGGTATATTAGACAATATCATATTTTGGTAATACATACTTAAATATTACATTATAGAACTTTCTAAAAAAAACAAAAAATTATGTTGTAGAACTTTCGCAGGAAAAAGTCCATATGATCTTTCTAGAGGAAAACAATCTTTGCATAGTTTTCTTCAAAGATTTCTATCAAACTTTGTATCAAACGAAAGTGAAACAATGCATGGTTCAACTGCAACATTTACAGAAGGAAACTTCTGTCAAAGAAGCATCTCAAGCAACATGAGTCAACTTTCTATTGACTCTACCAAATCATTAGATCCAATCTATGACTTACCATCACATGAATCAGGCAAAGAAAGCCCTGTTAAAAGTACAGAGAAAGATGGAATTTATAGTTTACTTTGGCCACAACCAAAAACTATTGTTGAATTGAAAAATTTTTCTACACCTTTTATTGTTAGAAAAGAACTTTTTATATCTATAATACAGGTACATTTTTGATATAGAATTATAATATATATTATTGTTTCATTCACTTTCTTACACAAATATTATCATACAGGGTAGTGAATCTGTACACAGAATACTAGATGTTTGGGATATTAGCAGAACTCATTTACTAGAATTAGGCTGTGATGTTAAAATTGGTGAAGTACATCCTAGTTCTGGTAAATTACTGAATGATAATCGAATTGAATGTATAGTAAATAAAAAACTGTTTAATACACTTGAAGGATATCAATTACATATTTCACAAAATACTATTAAAATTGGCGCTGGAAGCTTAGCTGGTTTACATTATGCAGTTTGTACTTTTGTGCAAATTTTGCGATTAAATAAAAGTCATAGCAAATCAGAAGCATGTGAAATTGAACCTGTTTTTATAAAAGATGAACCGCGGTTTACTCATCGTGGTATATTGTTAGATATCTCACCTCGAGGACGTATACCTACGTTAGAATATTTACTTCATATGATTGATTTATGGTCATCCTTTAAAATATCTTATTTACATTTGTATTCAAGACTTACACCAAATTGTGATTGGCAATTATGTTACTCGAAATCAGAAATGGTTACTCTTGATCGTTACTGCAGGTTTGTATATAGTTCTGAAAATTATTTTCTTTATATTTTTATGTATGTTTAAGTTAAGTATATAAGCAATTCTTATTTCAGAGATCGACATTTGGATTTAGTTCCAACTTTGGATGTTGACTCAAATGTAGGACAACATTATTTGTCACAAATGTGGCCTATATTTCAAGAATTATTAGCAATATTTCCAAGTTTAAGTTATGTTCATGTTGGACCAAGATTAGCTAATTTACTTGTTCAAGCAGACAACTTTGATATGAATTTGTCAGTTAATGAAACTATAGAAACAGATATGTCAGAAGTGTTTAAGTCATATTCTTGTCTTCAAGAACTTTGGCATACTTTAAATTTAAGTTCAAATACAACTTTACTACTCTGTTCAAATAGTTTACATTCTAAAGCAGAATTTCATAATATACCTAGTAATATTATTTTTGTTGAATACGGATTTCAGGTAAATAAAATGATACATGATTTAATAAATTTCAATATATCGAAATACATTGAATTCGTTATTATAAGATTCTATATTGTAGGCTGATTATGATTTTTCTGAATGGACAGAAACATTTAGAATAGCAGGTGGTAATGTATTGCCTAGTTCTGGAACAGCAAGTTATAACAGTTTAGCAGGATGTCCAGCATCAACGTATGTAAATACAAAAAATGCAATAAAAACTTCTCTTGAGCAAGATTCAGTGGGTATAGTTATAGCTCATTGGTCTGGAAGCCATCATCTTACTCCTCATCCTTTTGCATGGATTGGATATTTAATAGCAGCAGGATTGGCATGGAATCCAGTTAGTGAAATAGATATAGGAATTGACGATTATGAAATACTTATATCTGAAATACCTGGATCAAGGTAGTAAATATAGTAAATTAGAAAGCGTTACATGTTCATATGAAAGTGTAAAAAAAAATAATTTTAATAAGTATATTTTTTTACAGACAAAAATGTATTACGAAATTATTAGATATTCATGTTTTCCAAGATTCTGAATATAAAATTGGTAATGCAATATTAGAGTTAGGACGTTTAGATACTTTAGTACTTACTTTAAGCAAGAATCAAGGAACGAAAAATTTACAACAAATTCCTGATAATCAAGGATCAACTTTATACAGATTATTAACAGACCCGGATAATGTAAATTTAGAATATCTTTCCGCTGATTTATTTGCTGTGAGTATAATCATAAAATATTAGACTATATTAGGCAGAAAGAAATAATATTTTCTCTTTATTTAACAGAAAGTAACAAAACAAGTAAAACGTATTTCACATTCATTGTATGAAGGAAATCTATCATCGAAATTTGCATCAATGGAAATACAGGAGCTTCAGTTAACTGCTGATTTGATGTTAACAGCATGTAAAATTGGCAGAACATTAATTGGTGTTGGTGTTAATCCCAATAGTAATATGGGCCTTGCAGTGATTAATTTAGGAATATGTAATCTACCACCTACATTTAGAACTGATGTAGCAAACAAAATGTTGGCTCATATAGAACAGTATAAAGGTTCATGGTTACAAAGGCATTTACCTCAGGGTCTTCAAAGCTCTTTACTAGTCCTGACTAGTGCTTTACATAGGTTTGTGCCAGAAACATAATTTTTTGAGCTTTGAAAATATAAAAGACTATCTATATAAATATATAAAATAAAATCAGTTCCTGCTATACAAGACTGCAGGTATATACATGCTAAAAGCAATTACATATATAAAGAACTTATGAATGTTCCTTTATAAAAACACTTCTTAGTATAGAAGTGTAATGTAACATGACAGCATTCCATTTATTTTAAATACGATTTTAATTATATTTCTTAATTTAATAATTCATATTACAGACATTTTTAATATTTTCATGAAACTGATTATATATTGAGGGAACATTCTCAAGGTCTAATAAGATATTTATATGACAAAGTATTATTTGCACCAATTTATAATGTAAAAAGTGACAATTATAACTATAGAATTAATTTTGTTTAAAATAAGTATATTTTGTAGTTACATATATGCTTTCAAGCCATTGCATACAGATTGTATAAAATTATTATTATTATACAAAATTTTTGTGGTAAAATTGGTATTATAAACCTATGTATAAATGTATTTTAATACTAAATGTTTCTAAAACGAAGTAATTTTTGTACACTATGAATCCTTTATATTCATACATAGTAATTTACAATAACATTTTTACTACATTAAACAATACCTTAGTACATTACTTAACATAACTTAACATAAAGTTCAAAAGTTCAATTATTGTTAAGTTTTCTTTAAAATAAAATTGTTATATTTGTATGTTTGTAGTATTAATTTGTTTTAATTAAACTTTGACGTTTTGTCAAAACAAGATTGAAATACAGACTTATAGAAAATTGAAATACAAAGTAAAAGAAGATTAAAACAAAAGAGTTACATTTTTTATTTGTAATAGTAATTTTTAAAATATGTAGACATTTTCAACACATTGCAATAAAAATTATACAATAAATCATAAAATATACTTTATAAACATAATAATTTAATAAATAAATATTATAAAAAGCATAATTTAACAATGAACTCATTGTACATTATTTACAAGATTATTCTTATTATGTTCATTCCATCCACCCATTTCTAAATCCTGCTTGCGTAGAATTTCATTTTCAAGAGCCTGAAGTCTATAAAATTCATTGATTTCAAATTGATACTTAGGTGCTGTTATTCCAAAAAAGCCAGCTAACCATTCACCTACATAATCACAGCCATCCAACATTTTATTACCAATAGAAGTAGTTTGATACCATGCCCAAGGTAACCAATCCAAAGTTTTCTAAAAATTTTATTTTTTAATTTAATGTAATATCAATTGGAATTATTTAATTATTTATAGAATATATAGAGAATAACAGTTGTAAACAAAAACTAACTGGATCTATTTGAGTCACTGTCATATTTACAGGTGGTGCATCTGTTTCATCTTCAGAATATTCTTCTAAATCACCATCCGAAAAGTGCAATACACGTTTTGGTCGTCTTAACGACTTACGATCCTAAAATTGCTTCATATTTAAATAAAAATAAAATTTTAACAGATATATATTTTTTTAATATTACATACCTGGATGCCAGTATCAACACTTTCGTTCAAAATAATTTCTTTCAAATCACAAATTTCATTTCTCCCTGGGTCCATAATCGACAAATTTAAATGTTTATAAAATAACAGCTAAATTGCTTATTAATTCTTTGACATTTCACATCTGAACTAACAATAAGAACAATGAATAGCTTTGTCGCTTTGTTACTCGTTTGAGTCACATGCATTGACAATGTATAGAATAGATGTAACAGCTTATGAAATTTCAAACTACTCAGTCTGAAACATTAATCATTCAAAAAAACTGAGTTTTTCTTATCAACAAAAGACAAAATGGGGAATTTTATGGACAAATATTTAATACGTTAATGTTAACACTCATTGTGAGATAGCTTATTATTTCCATATTCATTTATTAAATATTTTAGAAAATATAACAAAAGATTCTATACATTTATTTCATATCTTATTTTCATATTCAATATAATTTCTGATATATTCATTCTAAGTTGTAAAGGGCAAATTCAATATTAGAATTCTTTATGTGGTACTACATCTATATTATATTTTGTCTATGGTGAACATATGATCTTGGATTTTAATCGATGAAAAACCAAAGTATGAGTAAAAGAAATTAAAAAGGGTAAAAAAAAAAATTTTATAACGTAAAATGTACAAATGTACATTGTGTACAATGTAAAATGTACATTATGTACACCAGTTCTGATAAGAGTAACAACGTAAAATCAGTCACGCTTGTAGTTCAGTAGAATGACGATTCAGGTCTGAGGTTTGCACCTGGTCACCGTGGTGACAGTTGCTCGACACTTGGTGATACTTCTTTCTTTTCGTTAGCTTGTATTATCTAAACCTTCTGTTCATGTTGTTAAAGTGATTTTCCTTTATTAATTTATGATGGCACAGACGCTTGCCTGTTTCCGATATTTTCTCATCGGTGGTGCTATTGTCATTGGCGTAAGTGCATATTTACTACCCTGACTTCAAACGTGTTTACGCGCGATGAATCATGATTTAAAGTTATATTATAGAAAATCTGTTTCATTTAAGTTCTTAAATAGAATCAAAACGATATTACCTTTCTCAATTTGAATTTTTGACGTTCTATTATTGAAAGTTCAGCAGGCAGAGATTTCAGATTTGTTTGCAAAATTGGATATTCGCCAACTTACTATCGTTCTTTTGAGCGTCTTAACCTTTTTGCTTGTAATCAAATGGCACTGTGTATCTGCTATATTTTTAAAACTTCAACTTTCTTAAAAATAATTGGAGAAATTAATTGCCTGACATAAAGATTAATTGATCGATTTTTGAATTATTACTTCATATAATCATCGTATTTCATATAAATCATTGCAATTTAATTATTATTAAATGTCTTTTTGAGATCGATCATTGACTAATATTGAGATCGAGATATTGATTAATATACAAGTAAGGATTAAATAAGTATTTTTATCAAAATTATTGGTATTTACGTAATTACATATAAAAACTTTTTTTGTATATCTTTATGGAATCATATATTTTTTGATATCTTAACAGATAAGCTTCCTATTGCTCGTCTTCAATATCAATATCATATATATACCGAAAAATGATCGATAACTTAAATTCTACACATCGGAACTTTCATGTTTATACAATATAATGTTATTGTATAAATATATTACATATATGTAATACATTATTAAAATAAATTATTTTAAAATTTAATGAATGATATTTGTTTTATTGTTTTTAATATTATATTGAATTCGCTTGTAACAAATAACACGATAAACTATACCTATTAATAATTGGAATCAAAATGTAAAGAAAATACTGATAGTGCTAAAATAGTTAAGACCAATTTGTTCACAAAAAAAATGAGTGCTATTGGAAATATTTCTCAATGACAAGATAAACGAAATATAAGTCGTATAAGCTGATGTCAAAATATAATCTATAATTTACTTGAAATATTATTCCATAGAAACTCGAAATATCTTATCATTCAATCTTTTTAGAAATTTTAATTTTTAATTTATGTAAAATGTTATTCTATGGAAACTTGTTATATCTTATCGTTGAATATCTTTTGTCACAAGGAATATTATGATTAGATATAATTAATCACCGCTTATCGCTATATGTTAGAGCATGTTATCACCTTAAAATGTATTGTACATCATGAATGATAAAAATTTCTCTTTCTATTCTTCATAGGTATGCGGTATTGTAGAAAGCGTTTGCGCTGGATATTTCATATATCGGTTGTATGAATATGCACCCCTCACGCCTAACAATGTATGTGGTTCGGTAATAACGTTGCTCGTGATGGGTTTGATAACATGTATAATAGCTTGGTGTGTCTGGCAATTTCTAGATTTTACAAATAAGGGACAAGTTATAATTGTAAGAAACTTTAGATTATTATTTATTATTATTAAGATATATTTAAATTATTATTCATTGTTTAACGATAAGAAATTTTTCTTTGAATTTATATACGTACGTCTTTGTATTGTTCGATACGATTTCCTTCTTTATTCATTTTCGATAAAAAAAACCATTTTTTTTCCATTTAGTTTTCCATATTATTTATGATTATTACGATTATCAACGTAAGCGCTGGGATTTGGGCCCTTGTTAGACACGAACAAGTAGATTTGTTACCAAACGCGCACTTGGAACAGATGTTTGAACTTGCTCTATCGGATGATAAGCTTCTTTGGGATCATATGCAGTCGAAGGTACATTTAATTATATTTTTCAAGTTAAATTTAATATGTACTTACTTTTAAATTAAATATGTACTTACTTCTTGCTTAGTTACGCTGTTGTGGAATAAACGGGCCAGCCGATTATCGTAACCAAGATGCAGTACCCTGGTCTTGTTGCGATACGTCATCACTTGCAAATCCTAGCGACGATAAAGGCGTGTGTACTAATATGTATGCACACGGTTGCCAGCATGCTGTGATAAATCATACTAGATCGATTCTTCTGTATATATTTTTGCTTGCATTGTGTCCAGCATTAGTACAGGTAATCACATCTATTAATTAGTTAGTCACTGTAAATAGGATCGGAAATGTGATTATATTGTTATTTTTAGGTCTGCTTTATAACGGGCATGTTATGTTATATAAGAGCGTATCGAGAAAAAAGAAAAGACCTGATGATCTCCGCTCAATCATTCGCACGAGCATCCAAAGATTTAGGAACAGGCGATAGTCTTCTAAACCAACAATCAAAGTATTTTAAAAGAGCGTCTGATGCTTAATAGTTTTTAATACGTTCAGAAACAATATTCATATTTTCGTATGTATTTACTTCATATCTATATTGCATTATATACTTTTATTTTGATCATTGTAGTATGAATATTTTATAGAAATCGTGTGCTGCATTTAGGTATCTTTTTTAGCGTGTTCCTTTACTTTAAACTTTAAAATATCATTTTTATTGAATATATAATTATTCAATATTCATATAAGAATCTGTAATGTATATTACACGATGTAATGAAAATTTTCATACCAAAAGTATTGTGTTATTTTAAAGAATGTACCAAATATAAAGTTCCTCAGCCGAAAGACATTTTATATAGACAATAAATATAAATATAAATAAATAAAGAAATCATTAATAAAAGGATTAAGTTAATAAGAAAATCAATCCTTTATTATTATTATTATCTTTATACCAAGAATGCGAATAATACTTAATTGAACATAACACGACGTAACTTTTACTGTATGAAAATTTGTACAATTTTATTACAACCAAATTTGTAAATAATTGTACAATTAAATTAAACCTTCGTAAATCTTATACGTTTAAAATTAATTAGTTAATAAAACACATTAAAATTACTTAAATTAAATGACAAACTCTTAAGTTAAAATTGTAGTATGAAAATCTTTGTTGCGTTTCTTAAACCGGATGTTGATCAATTGAAGTGTTCAAGAAGTACAAAAGTTGATCGCTGAAAATGTTATTGAACCTTACAATGAATTTTATATTTCATAATTTAATTTTTCAGTATCATTGGCATTATCGGAAACGGCGTGAAATTCATGGAATACAATTTATTTAATCTTTTTAGATAAAGACGGGTGCGGCGCTATTGCGCTTCATGATTGGAACGGTTATAGCGTCAGTTAAACGCGTACCGGTTATAGCGTCAGTTAAACGCGGGACGTCGGTGTGATAGCTGTTGTTATTGTGCCGTCTGCAACCTAACCTGTTGAGCATCTTTTTGCGCGTCCTTCGGAGTTTTGACGGATTTTTCTTGAAACACAAGTTACTTAAAGAAAAAAAGCTACAAAGATGAGCTGCGGAATGGGAATGATTAAATACCTACTCTTCATATTTAATTTCATCTTCGCGGTAATGTAACATATTTGTATAGTTTGTTCTACCTGTTTGCGTAACATTCGATCTGTATCTTGTAATTTTTTAACACGATATCGTTCAATAATTTATTATTTAAAAATTTGTTAAATAATGAATAAAATGAAAACTGACTTGTTTATTATGATGTTAAAAGCGAATACTACGCCTCTGAATTTAATGTTTGGGCGTGTAAAACTGTTACCGTTATTCTATCATTATTTGAAAATACGTTGGTAATCTATTGAAGAGAATACTACAGTCTGTTACCATGTGGTACCAATAATCTTTACGTCTTATTTAATTTGGCAATGGGCTGTCAGTGCTATTTTTAATTATCAATTGATAAATAATCTTCTCTTTCAATTTTACTCAACAGCTTGTTTAGATCATTTTTTCTTTATCTTTTGTTTTTTGTGATATTTTTTCCATGACATTACATAAATTGCATTAACACATTGGCGTCGGGTCGTTTGAAGTTGCGCTTGACGGGACGATATCGCGTCTCTTCTTTGAATCATATTACGCTGAAAAAAAGAAAGAACATTAGCTAATTAATATTCTTCAAAGAAATTTTGAAAAAATATGCGAATTACTTTCTCGCACAAAAATTTATAGTTTTTAACATGCAAATATCAGAGAGGTTATAAACTCGAAATTAAAATCTTCCTCTCCATAGAATTATGCCTTCAAGTAATAGATTCTGTTCATACACGTTATTAAAAAAATAATTACAATTTTTTGCATTTATTAGCCTGTTTTCGTTTGGGTATTATTAAAGAGAAAAGAGAGAAGTATAAATTTACAAAAACTGATCTCTACTCATAAATTACTAAAAAATCATTACTAAAAAATGAAGAATTGGTATAAATGCATTTGTGGATCCATAACAGTGTACATGTTATTTTCTTTTTTTTTTTAACTAAGCGCATGATTATTATAGAAAAATATAAGAAATAAAATTTTTATCATTCAAACACGGAAAAGCACTGACTACTGAAAAACACATGCGACAGTTGTAGAGGCCAAAAAAATATAAAAAGATTTTACTCCCATGGATATAGGATTATTTTATCAAGCGTAATAAAATAATTTATTCTATTATAAACGGAGTTATCTGAAATTTATGATAACGTTCTGAAGCGAGGCCCAAGCATCTAATTTATGCTTTATCTCACTATCGTATACACAATATAATTTTTTATATAATTTTTTCAATTCATGAAACATTTGACATAATAGCATTTCTGAAAAGAAATTGAGCCATTTTTAACGTCTTAGATTTAATAATTGTGAAATTGTAGTGAATTCTACACGAGAATTCACTTTTATTCAATTACAAAATTGAAAAAGCAATGAATTTTCTCTTATTCCCATCAATTATGATTATTTGATCAACTGTAAAATTTGATATCTTCTTAATATTAATTATTTCTTCTAAATATTAATTGTACTGAATGCGCATACGCATACGCAGAGATATCTGTGAGAGGTGGGTCGCGAGTTTTGTTTGTTTAAACATACGTCAATGTAAGCATAGATTATGAGTCATACGATAAGAAATATTTATAATGGTTGAAAAATGTCAAAAATATCTTTTTGCAACTTGTCAACACTAAATGGTGTTTCGTAAAAATATTATTATTTTATTAATTCAAATATATTTCAGTGACAGACGTTATATGATTTATTCTATATTTTGTATTTTCTTGAATTAAAATGGTGGATAATAACAGCAAGTTGAAATATAGAATAAATATAAACGTCATTGTATATACATCATTAAATATACTTATATGAATAATGTGTCTCATAAAATATTATCAATAAAGAAATTATCCTACAGAGATATAGAGGATGAAAAAGGGAACAAAGTGTTTTTTTCGGCTATTAAATAATCGATGTAACGATCCCAGTTGTGCGAGACTTGTGTGTGCTCGATTTCAGAGTTCACCTAGATAAAGTAGTTGAAGTAGAACATCTATAGGCGAGTCTTATCATCTTATTAATTTTCTCTTTAATCTTAAAATAAAAATTTACTCTTTAAAGTTTTCGTTCGAAAGAAAAATTCCATGATATTCTCGTTACTTTAGAAAATATTTTATTGATAAATTATCAGTAGAGACGTTGCACAAACTGCAAAATTGCAAAATTATTTTTAAACATGAGTTGTTCTTTCCTTAACGGAGTCCTATTGTATGTTGTAATGCTGATCTCTCGCAGCACGTTCTTTTCCTCAAGCATGACGGGCGCGCGTACTAACGTTAAGAAATTGCAATCCCTTACAAATGACGTAAATGCGAACCATTGGTTGCCAGGGAATTCCGAATGATGAGTCTGTGGTGCGTTGGTGAACGTGAGACAGAGATAAAACGAGGATATTGTTTCTCCATTTTGGTGAGCACATACTAACCATTGAGTTTTTAGTGCTCGGTCTACTCATCTCGTCAGAGCTGTGTGTGCCGCTTCGATTGTCCTTGCGATCCGTTCTTCTTCTTTCTCGATCGCGTCGCGTTTAATTATTTGTCATTAAATCGATATTGAACGGTGAAAAGATCAAGATGAGCTGTATCTCGGATTGTATCAAGTATTTGCTTTTTATTTTCAATTTTATCTTTTCGGTAAGTGAAATCTCAAAGCTAATCAAGCTTTTAGAATCAGGACTTAAATCTACAGACTGTTTTACCGAGTGTTTAGATTATGACTTTCTGACTTAAGTTTAACATTAGGCGTAAGAGAAAGAAAAGGTTGATTGCCAATTGATTTTCTTTTCGTAAAGTCGGGTAAAAAACAAAAAAAAAAAAGAGGAATTGGAATTGACAAGAAATAAAACGAGCAATACTCCGATGTTTAATTGTCTCGATGCAGCTAGGGTATTTGTAATTTGTATGCTTCGTGACGAAAATGTCATTTTTTCAGGGTCAGAAGGGAACTGAATGCAATGTTGCTCTAAATTGCTCGTATTATTCAAGGTTCGTTTGGACTGTAGTATCCTTGACGTTTTATGGTTCGTTGAAAACGTATTTTTATGTTTCATCTTGAAATATAATATTAGAATAACTCAAGCATATTATTGCAGGCATGTCAAGCACGTACTTTACGTTTATTGTGCATTAATTTATATTTATATTTTATATTTTACAATATTACGTAAAATTCAAAATTTGTATTTCATGTAATTTAAAAATGCTGATTGAGAATAGTGGAAAGTGTTTCTTCTTGTGATGTAAAACCTATGAAAAAATAAGAATTGTAGTAAATTGAAACGTTTTGCATTCTACGTTAAGTTGTATACGTTAAACTGAGAGAATCGTATCGAGTTTCCTGCATTGTGAGTCATACTTATGTCATTAAGAATTCACGCGTTCTTGTAGCTTGGAGTACGCTAGCATGAAATTAAACTCCTATCACAATGTGAATTCAGCGTGTTGTGTCTGTGCGTCAGTCTGACCTGTTTTGTAATTTGTGTGACGTCATTCTCCAGGAAGTTTGAAATCGTCCTAATTAATGTCGATAATAATAGTAAAAATAGCAGCGAAATATCACAAGTTGAAATAAAAGTATTATTGCTGCGTATTATGCAGCTTACCGTTTATTTTTCTATGCAATAAACAATTCTGCTGTATGAAATAAATGTTAAAACACGATTTTTAAAAAGTATTGGTCTTTAAATTGTTTGTTTCCATGTACGACCTCTTGGTGAGATGTCTAAACACTTCGATAGTCTGTATATTTAGTAAAGAGGTTGTGTATAGATTAGATGCATCGAGGCCGCGTCCACTTAGCAACGTGCCTGCCTTTTTTTTTCAGAGCACTTTCTTGGCTATAGGGATTGACTGAATATCATTCTACACGTCTTTATCATTCCACAGCATCTTCAAGAAAATGAAATTCACTTCCATTGTATAACCATATTCATTTATTTCTCATCAAGTTTTTCTTGTGCTTCAGTTGCCGACATATTCATACGTGTGTATAGCTGTATACTCTTTTGTGTTAGATTTTTTACGTAACCTAGTAATTTTCGAGTAAGTACTGGTTACATCACGTAATCAGACAATTAGTGGCCGCAGTATATTTTCTTCTCTTGTCTACCACAAAAGAATACAATGTCGTAAACAAATGGAGTGATCAAATTTTCCATCGCATAGGTCTACGCTGTAGATGAAATTTTGGCACGGGAAGCTATAATTGGCACGTAGGACGAATATCGGAGCAACCAAGGTCGCATGTAAGAAGTCCGAATGAAAGGTGCAGTCTTCACAGCCCGATACATCGTGAAATATTGTATCGACAGTTTTAAATCCATTCTTTAATTGAAAATTTTAGTTTTCGTTGGATTTTCGATGTTTTATATCGAATTAACTCGCCATGCAGACGAATAAAAAAAAAAGAATCGACCAGACTGACTTCAACTGGATTCTTTGTCTGTTGAACAATCACTGTATTCAATTAACCTATTCAAAATGTCTCATTGATAGCTCTTTTTCTCTAACGAATGAGTTAATCCAGCACAATGTAACGAAGGTTGCCCGACACAATGATCAGCAGATGTAACCTATCAAAGATAAATTTAACTCTAATTCTGTATTCCGTGAAACGATGTACATAATCGATACATATCCGAACGTTTTATCAGGTTTTTTTGTTATTTGTATAATTACGATAGATTAGTTGATAATTTTCATTATTTACTGCACTTAATATATTAACGTCATGCATCTATTATTAGCACGTGATTAAACCGAATATATCATATAATGATTTATACATATGAAGAATAAAATATATTTCTTATTCTAAAAAATAATTTTGAAGATAATAACTAGAAGCACGGTATTCCGTAATAGTTTAACGTATTCGCAGAACACGATGAATTTTTGTAGCGAATAGTGTAGGAACAAGGAAGTACATGATTTTTTACTCTTTCTAAAAGAGAGAGATAAGAAAAAGTAGATAAAAAAAATACCGATTTCATGACGAAATAACCGGCTCCCTTTATGTTTCGTTATCTTTCACAAATTTCAGTGGTCATGCCTATTTCGTCTTACTCTACGTGCATTATCGCGAACGTTATTAAACGTCAGAGGCCACGTTTTCGCGGAAACGCAGTTGAGTCATCCCGCGTTTCGGCTATTTTGCGCACAGATTCAACAACCGGACACACACGCGCGATCTTCCAAGGAGAAAAGAAGAGAACGAAGCGATATTCTTTTTATGTCGCTACGACACACTTTTCAAGTTTTCAAAACTTTTTCGAACAGTGGACAGGTTTTATTACTTACCTGAAAAACTAAGAAAGATAGTCGCTTTTTTTTTGAAATTGAAACGATCTTCGTCACGTTGTACGTCACGTTTTTTTTTTTTTTTTCTCTTGACATTGTGTGTTTCAAAGATCGAAAGATGATTGCTTATTGAATAGCAACGATGCAACTTTGTACCGTTAATGAACATGCGAGTATGGTATTACGCCGATTGTGAGACTAATGCATATACTGATTTCAACCATTAGCAGCAAGCTTTATAGCTGAAACGATTTATGTGCTTGTAAATCAATCAGTATTAAAACTAAGCTATTTTTTCGAATATGTGAAAACGTATTAACATAATGATCAGTGTATTTCCCGTTTAAAATATCGATCTTCTCGAATGCAGTTTGGTTCATTTAATTTGCTTACTATAATCAATGAAGCGAGATAATGCAACACGATATGTGTTTTTCGTTGAAACATAACATGCGAGACTGATTTTGCTAAATCATTGATTATAATCTCGAAATATACACTTGTTATTATTAGATATCGTTTGCATTTGCGTTAATTTCGTGTTTTTCCAAAAATTCCAAAGCATTTTTTTCATACGATTCTCACTTATTGTTAATAACACGTGGGCAGACGGCGGACGTTGGATCTTCATTCAGAAAGAATCTTTGTTCAGACGTGTGTATGCATTAATACAAATGCCCAGAAAAACGTTCAATTCGAGTGAATTCAATGGATATGAAATTTATTTCTATTGTAAGATATGTACATACTGTATCGTTTCGAAGAAAGTCAATGCCAAAGTGTATGTTGAATAAAGATGATGTCATCTAGTTTAAACGATCAAGTATACATTCTTTGTGTACGATCACGTTAATTTTGTCTGCGAATCGAGAAATATCGTGTGCGATATAAACCAGGCTTGATATAACTTTCTGTTACTGCAGAACCCTGAAGTTGGACATTGTTTTGTTTACGAATGTTTGATAATTTTCTTCTCGAATGACACATGATTTTTTAATTTCACTCTTCGTTATTGTAAATTTTTTTTTACCAAAGAATTTAATATATTTGCATTTCACTGTAGCACTTAAATTCTTCGGATATCAGTTAAATTTATTTGCGTTTTCACACAGATCCTTTTGATTGTTAAACAAAAATGTGGTTTCATTTTAGAGACATTTCATTTTGTGGGTAACAAGTGGGGTGACGGTAGTTAGGCGACTTTAAACCGGAGAGGAAATACGAATCCGCATACAATGAATATTCATTTGGATTGTGTCCGTGTTTCGATAGACGTGAATACCTTGCAAATATAATGGTATTTCATCATCGAAAGTAACAGGGAAAAGCAACAGTATAATAACTCTGAATAATGCATGAGATCGAATGCGCTTTTTCTAAATGAACCCGAGTTACCCTCGACGAATGGCACAGTAACGTCATGCAGCCAATCATGAATTTTCATGAGTTTTTCTATTTCTATCATTTAAAAAGTTGTTCGTCGGTTCTAAAGGAGGTTCTGTAAAATATACTATAAAAAAAAAAACTTGTACGAGTGAACAATGTAAAAATAATTGTTCGAAGTTGAGCTACATAAGTTTAAAATCCTCTAACTCGAGGGAACTATAGCCGAAGAATTAAACGCAGATTTCAAATGATAAATTCACGTCGTGGACTAAAAATCGCGTGGCAGACATTCGCACATGTTTGGCTCTCAGCATCGATCATAATAGTTTCAAATGCATGCGAGACACAAAGAAAATATACTCCTATAAAGTGTCAAGGATACGACGTACGTATTGGTATGCAATTGGCTTTACTTAAGCGAGTATTACCCATTGATCTGTTTGTTCCCCTGAAATATACCACCTCCAATTTATGCAAGACTCTGCTTCTATAACTAGAGTTTTATTACGTTCTGAAAAAAAAATGTACTACATTACACTACACAATTTTTTTTTTCTAATTTGACATACGAGATCTAATTATTGTGGTAGCGAGCACAAAATGATTAACGAGAGTTTATCGCCTAAAACCCGTGGAATTAAAAAAGTATGCCAACAGTTTTTTCGTGTTCATCAATTTTGACAAACTCAGTATTACGAATTTTTAATTTCATTGGGTGATTTCAAGAGTGACGTTTAATCGATTTTATAATCAAATGTCATTAATTTGTACGTCAGAGAATTGTTGGTCTAATTAATCTAATCTAAAACGAAAAACTTAGAATTTCATTAAGGCATTTAACGATTTTATTTTTTATTTCCGAGTAAATGTTATACGACTATCTTATCGTTGATTATTCAATATTTGCTGTACAGTCAATACTAACGACTTTTATTATTATCGTGTTCTTATCATTGATAATAAGATTCTCCGAAAGATTTGATACTATCGAAAAAAATTAATAATTATATATAATCGAAAATTGTCTTATCGATCTTTTTACACTTGAATTTTTAAAGAATCGATTTCAAGAAATTTTCTTAGAAATATGTAGTTCCGTGAAAGAATATTAATATCATAGATGATATTATAGATATCCGATAGATAGTAAGAGAAATATCTATATCAATTAAGATTTATATTTCGAATAATAACATGCACGTGCGTATCATTCGGCGAATTTTCTTCCGTGGATGAAAAGTGTTGATACATCGGGCAGATAGTGCAGTAGATATTGGTATCTTTTTATCAATGAGTCACGGATTATTAATAAAACAAATTTCGTAACGTAGATAATGTAAGAAAAGAATGAAATTTTTACCATTTTCTTCGCTGTTTAGTTTGAATTGTGGATCTTGCTGAATGCATGAGTAATATGGACTTACATTACTGAATGGCCAACAATGGCGTCGAAATAATTTTGTTGAAATAAATAAAGTGATATTGAAAAGATCCTGTTTTGCTCGAGTTATATTGTAAGCTGTATTTTATTAAAAATCCGTTGGACTATCACCACCTGGCTCACACCTGGAATATGACCTAAATTCAGGACGATTGCGTAGTGTACCGTCTACAGAATGTTCAATGCCAACCGGTTAATATTGTGCAATGTGATGTAATAAGTTGCTGTCTTAGCCTTCAATTAGTAACCTTATATAGAAACTTGACAATCAAAAATTGTCAATGCGATTGAAAGCTGCACGATTAAATAAGTACTGTTAAATTTTATTTAATAATTCTTCAATAGATATTTTTGGATAATCTTATTTCGTAATATCTTATATGGTATATATTTTACATTACATTCAAATTGAAATAATTATTTATCTTTGACATTGTCATGTGCTGCAGGTATGCGGGCTGGGTATTTTGACACTTGGCGTTATTGTACATCTGCGAGTGACGGAAGTAACTGACCACATTGAAACCAATCTTACGTTCCCATCCATAACGTTAATCGTTATCGGCAGTATAATCTTCATAATATCATTTTTCGGATGTTGCGGCGCCATTCGAGAAAGTCACTGCATGATAATTACCGTAAGTATATATAATTACATATATTTAAGCACTTAAATTACGTTAATTATTTAATTGCGAAGACTAACAAATTTGTTTCTCGTTTTTAGTTCGCATCGTTCCTTCTGTTCATCTTGCTTGTGCAAATAGCAGTTGGTGTTTATGCGTTTGTGGTTGTTAAAAACAACGACAAACAGATTGATATTACAAGGGACTATCAGAAACTATTCGATTCTTACAACGACAACAAAGAAGTTATTGATTTTGTCCAGAGTAGTGTGAGTACTTTTACTTTTTATTATTATTTTGTAAAATTTCGTGAATTCTTCGAAGTCGGTCGTTCAACGAGAAAAAGCTTTTGGTTTTGAAAAAAAAAAAAAAAAAAACAGCTTCCTTAATGTAAGAAGGTTATGATTTATCATCAAATTTAAAATGACTTTGGATAGCTTCAATGCTGTGGTGTCACTTCTCCAAATGATTACAACGGCATTCGTCCTATTCCGCCAAGTTGTTGTGGCAAGAAAGAAGATGAAACTTGCGCTACACAGGATATATATCAAGCAGGCTGTGCGATAGAAGTAAAAAATGCGATTTCAACTGCTGGAACTGTACTTGGTAGTGTAGCTATTGCTATTGCTGGTGTTGAGGTGAGTTTTTTTTTTATCAATACGCCCGGTATTAGCTGTAAATAAAATTAGTACTTGCACTTGTATTTTTATAATGTCTACTTCTTTATATACATGTCAAACATAAAGTATAGTATATTACTATAAAATGTAGCATGAACATGTAAAATCTGTATGTACATTGTATATATCATATTTCAGTTGATCGGCATCATATTCGCACTTTGCTTGGCGAATTCTATAAAGAATGCTGAACGCAGGGGTTACAGAGTATGAAATCCAAAAGACATTGAAAGAAGCGTATATTAAAAGTAAAAAGTAATATAATTGATAACACTACCATTAATAATTTAATCTTAAGAAGTGATAGAAGATGCAGTTATTGTATTGATATAAATTTAGACAATTTTGTAAATGATAGATGAATGGACAAACAGAAGAAAAAGTGCCTTTCCTTTAAGTTGGAACATGATTTTTGTTTAAATTTTTATTTTGGTATGTAATATGAAATGTATAATCATGTTATTTAATATATTTTTAATTTTGGTACATTTTCACTAAATTGGATGCTTTTTTTATGTATAACAAATAAAATAATTATAATAATAACTTGTCATTAATAATAATAATAATAATAATAATAGTAATAATAATAATAATAATAATAATAATAATAATAATGATAATTGGTGCAAAACGTATCTAGGGACTCAGTAAGTTTTATTTTGTTGTATAATTTTTATATATGTTAAAATGTGATATAATATTTTTTGCACATAATTAAAAAAAGTTATTATTGATGCACCAGAATATTAAGTTATTTTTTATAATACAAAATTAAAGTTATATTTTGATAAAATAAAAAGTTAAATATCGCAATGCATTATGTAGTTCTGCTATAATAAATCGAATATCATGAGGAAGTATTTTTATAATAATATTTTAAAATAAGTGTTACACACTGCTTTCAGATGCTTTTACAAAATACAGTTTATATTATTATTTGTACAGCACACATTCATTATACTTTCTAAAGGAATATATCGAAATATATATTTTCCTTGTAATAAAATTTATTGTACCCAAGCTTCTGAGATTATTAACATACTTTTTTTGTCTGTCCAAGCGAAATTACTCTTACTTTTTATGAAACTTGATGTTATCATATTTTAATTTTTGCATTACTGTTTAATTATTATAGTTATTTACATGTAAATGAAACATTCACATAATTAAATTATTTTTATTATTTATTGAAATATTTGTTTATCTTAATGGACAATGTGATCAAGTGGACTGATATATAGTGGTATTTATATCAATAATATTTTTATAGGAACGGTTTTGTAGATTGAACATCGAATATGCGCCTTTACATTCATTATATTGTCGTTATTTATTAAGTTCAAGAGAGGATAACTTACATCTGTTGTGCTATAATACATACTATTTACAATGTCCCAATCACAAGTTTTATATTTATCAATGGATTTTTTTCTTTCAATTGGGATAGAGGATCAGTGCTTTAATGATCGCATTTTCGATATAATGCATCTTACACGTATCTTATAACTATCATTAAAGGATTACTCTGAGACTGTAGAATAAAAGTTGCTTTCGTTTGGAACTTCTTCGTTGTAGTTATTAAATATTATAATTAATGACGCAATAAAATTCTAGAATCATTAAATTTAAATAATAATAACGTACTGAAGTCCAATATAATATGTATAGCTTTTTTTTTTTTATTTCTTTTAACATATAAAAGGTGAATACTCTAATCTCATCTCAAATATAATATGGCAATAACAAATTCTGTGTAAAAATGGATTAATGAAAAATACAACTTTATATTCGTACAGTCTCCATTTCAAATATTGAAAATATTCATCGTGTTATATATATATATATTCATCGTAAATATATATATAATATATTTCTACATGTAAAATATTTCAATTTCTATCGACTTGATATCTTAAACATTACATGGACTATATTATTCCTAATAATTTGACCAAACACAAATTAACCGTTTATCTCAACCGTTACGTGTTCTTGAAGTAGTGTGAATCTTGTACAAATTATGACGAAATTATCTAACTTGGTACGGCGTCTTGATCATAGCGTTACTATTTCTCTGTTCTGAGTTTTTTTTATTTATGTTATTTCTATGGTCGATGATTCATGCGCCAAGCACATGTTAAATATATCTGTTTGAATTTCAATTTTCTCTATTTTATTTTACAGTTCATAAGTAATACATTCATATTTGCATTGAAGACGGAACAAAAAGTTATACGCGCTTGTAGCGTACATGTAACATGTGTTTCATGTTAACAACGGGGTACCATGTAGTATGTCCTCAACGTCTATCGATGATCGACGAGAAAGAGTACAAATTCATATTCATACAAAATCGTTCGGTACTCTTAATCTAAATTTTTCTAAGCTCAATTTCGGAAGATGATGCGCGACATCGCGTTATTTTTCCGTTTGAAAAATGTAGAAACAGTTACTCTATCTAAATATATTAAAGATCAATCGCTTCAATCGCGGTTTGTTATATCTCGATCTCTATATCTTTAAAATTTTTTATGAAACGTATGTTAAAATTGTAAATTAAATTTTATGTGCGTAAGAAGTAGATTTCATTAAGATCACCCGGTGTCTTATGATCTTGATAAACAAGATCGTTAATGGAAGTACTGTTTGAAATATTCAGGTGTACAGTGAAGTATAATCATAGTTCCAGTCTATGATATTTTTGTCATGATAATGTACATATTACGCTAATAGTATGTTTTATATATATATAGACCACCTCTTGCACAATGTTAACTTTAGTTTTTATGTATATGTAATAACTGAGATATCTACTTCCATCTTGTGAGCAAGAGCATACTTCAAGTAAAGATAAATTGTTTTATGATCTTTTATGTACATAAATTTAAATGATAAAAAAAAGTATTCTTGAAAGGACATTCATCCATTAACGTTTTGTTCAAAGAAAGTTTTTAAATAGAAAATGACCAATAATTCTTGAAATTATATTTCTAAGTTTTCAGAAAATTAAACAATATTTTTCACCTTGCAAATTTCTCAATAATAATTTATATTCATATTTAAAGATTTATAAAAATCTTAATACATGATATTCAAGATGTAAGTAGATAATGAATAATCATTCTTATTTATGAGAAAATTAATATTCTATTTACAAATTTCAATATTTATGAACATAATAACAAATACTAAGTAATTAGACATCAAAGAAAGATGTACACCTTCAGAATCCCTGTTTTTATCTATATTTTTTTCGTTACTTTGTTTAATACTCTATTTTGTGCAGGATTATTTAATTTATTTAAAAAAGGAGATATGATTCAAAGTAAAAAAAAAAAAAAAAAAAAAAAAAAAATTTGCTTTCATTATCTTCGAATTTTCTCTATATTTTATGCTATAGAAAACGAATACATCAACGAAAATTCGTGTCGAAGCTTTTTAAAGCGATTTAACAAAAATAAATAGATACCGTCACGATAAAACTATACTGACCTTTAGCAAAACACCGTACAAAAAAAAATCAACTTGTACTTTCCTATCGAAATTATATGCAAATTACTCGCTGTATATATATATATAGAGAGAAGCGTACGCACGACGTAACAAGAGTTATTAAAAAAAATCAACGTACTCTCCACGATATAATACAATTTATTCTCGTAGATTTTAGCTTCGTACGTGTATTTAACTTTTGATACTTAAGACCGGGGCAACTTAAATTTACCATGGTGCAACGGAACATGCACGGTGGTCTACTGTTCGAAACAAAATAGTTCGCTTGTCTTTGCGAGAGTTCTCATCGCGTCGACATGTAATTTTACGATATAATAAACTTTCGCGTCAAAGTTCGTCCTACAGAGGAGAAAGCTTCATGATGTCGCTACGAAGCTCTGTAGAGGGTGTGTCATCCAAATCGATGAGACTAGCGTTCGAGCCTGCCGTGGAGGGTGCCACGATCTCGTCGAGGAAATCAAAAGAGGCCACAGCTTCGCGCTCCTTGTCTCCGTATCGCACGAAGAAATCCTCGCCTCGCCCGATGATCGACGGCCTCGATGAACCCCAGGTTGACGGCAGTCGTAACACACGGTGTGCCTGGGCCGCCGATGCTGAGAAACCAAGCGCAGCGGGTCAACATGCCTCAGACCTCACTTGATCTCTTTTCTCTCTCTTCCTATACCGGTTCTAGCAGACACAGAGTAGCTCGGCTTAGCACTCTTACACGTATCACGTTCCTCTCTCTCATTCTCTCTCTCACTCTCCTTTTTCGTCACGTATTTGTCCATTTTTTTTTTTTTTTGCTCTGCTTTCCATTGTCATCGTGATCGTTAGTTGATCTCTCTCGTGAATTGGTGCTTTCAGAGACTCGGAGAATCTCGAATATTGGCAAGCGTTCGATTTTCCACGTAGATACAGCATCGTGACAGCTAAACAGCGTGGCTGCAGTTACATTTTGTAAAATTGATTACGAGCGTAATGCTACCGTAACATCGATATGTTCGAGAGAAACAAGATTACATTTTTTTTTTTTTTTTCAGTTACGTGCATACGTTATTTAACTGTCACGAACAACGTGATGTAATCGAAACGACATGAGAATGACATACTCGTAAATGTGTGAAAATTATTATTCTAAAGATTAATGTACTATTGTAAGTATGTGAGGTTCGCATGTTAATCCCCGTCTTTTATTTTTGATAAGATGACGAATAATTGGAAAATGATCGAGACGCTGAGAGATAGTGGAAGAAGTCGAGCACCTGCCAATAATTCGGAATTCGCGATCAGTAGTAAATTATTTTTCAGAATGAGAGAGAAAGTAATTGTTTCATATAACCCTTGACGCAATTCCAGGCGCAGGTAGATTAGATATAATAATGATGTATAATAAATAATAGAATAATAAAAATATATTTACATAATATGTAATTTTTAAATATAAAAACGATTTTCGAATAGTTGTGTTTTATTAACTATTCAAACTTAATACGTATATATCTGCGCATACTCTAGTTACAAAATTATCCTATTATAATGAACGTTATTTTAGACATGAAAAAAAAAAAAAAATAAATAAATAGCAGTGCATTAACACATTACGGACAAATTTTCAGAAAAAAGTTGTAGGCATTTCGAATTTTAAAAAAATAATAAAACATAAAATACATGAAATGCGAAGAGATGTTCAGAATGCATCGTTCGTAATGTGTTAACCGACAAATCGGAATCTATTAGACGTGTATATCAGATTTATTTTAACAACAAAAGTGGAATTGCGTAAAGGTGACTCGTAACGAATTCGTTCTAACGTCTTCTGGTTAATAATCAGTTAGTAAGCCAATAGAAAATCCGTTGTAGCCGTACAGTTCACGTTGGATCAGGCCAAAATAGGTCCCGGCGAAACGATTCCTCCCAACTGGCATGTCGGTTACAGAAACTGATCGTCACTAAGCCGAACTACGTAGCTTTTCTTGTGACAATCAAAGCACACCGCGTAGGAGCTACCATCTGAACAGAAAATGTGGAAAAGGCTATGTACAGCGAGGGCTACCAGCATATGTGTTCATGTACCGTTTTCTTTTGTAACTGTACAGTGACGGGGGTGTTAATGGGCCAAAGCCATTTAACAGCGTGACGTGTTAATGCGTGTTCGTGTTCGATTCACGCTAATATACATATTTATTATATTGCTGAAACATGACACAACGTTGAGCAATTATTTTTATTTCATTTTCTTCAGTCACTTTAAATAGCAATTTTTAAACGAGTATAGTAGCGTGACTTTTGATAGTTTTTGTTGTTAGTAATGTTATTTCGAGTATGATAAGCGGAAGCGACTCTTTCTTTCACAATGCATCCTTGAAAAAAGAAACGTATAGTATATTTTGAACGAGAGGTAGAAAAGACGCCAAAGTTGAACGTGTGGTCGTAAATTCGCAGGCTTTCAAAAACTGTTTTACTTTAATATAACCTTTGTGTCTGTTGAATTATATCATGTCTATAGCGAAAGATACAATTTATAGATAGGAGAAACTATCCCAGAGTGATGTGCAAGATTGGACAAGAAGATGTACTACTGACGGATCGTATAATAAATACCTTTCTTTTGTCGTCGGTATCGGTGTAGTCTGTGCAAGTGACGGTAATCAGGCGGTTCATCCCCCGAGTCACTTCCGGCTGATCCGCTGCTCGATGTCGCCGAAGAACTCTCACTGCTTTCCAGCATCACGTCTAAAAGATTGGCTCTTGCCTGAAGAAACATGAATTTCATATAAAAGAGAAATCATCTGGCAATTAGCAATTGCTATCTTAGAAATATTTAAATTGACAATTTTGATCGTTACAGCGGCTTAGCTTGAATTCCTTCACGATCCTTACTCACTTTTGGGTCGGTAAAGTCAATGTCCCGTTCAACGTGAACCCATCCAGTCGGACAACAGCAAGCGAGATCCAATTTTTCGAGCGGCACCTGAGTTTCCTGAGTGACGGTATTCTCCTCTCCCTTTCTGATCATTCGATTCAGCTCGTCTATCACGTCCTTCGACGTGGCACGTTCGTGGAAGCTCAGCGATCTGTCCCTGCCTTCGACTAGTAGCGGTGCTCTCGCTGGACTTACCTAAAATAAAAACGTCAAATAATCGTCAAAATAATCGTCTGAAATCTAAAGGTAAGATTGACGGTGTGAAACGTGTTTAATTGTAAAATTTTGAAGCAAACGAGATAAGAAGTGTTTCAAATCATCTTTTACTCTATTGCCAAACTTACAACCGTGCTTGGTGTGGAAGAAGTAGCAGCTTCTTCATCTTCCTCGGGAACGGCACCCAATTCAGACGGCGCGACCGTGGTATAAGAGACACCACCATTGCAAGCCACCGCGCTGATTATTCTCTCCTCCGGCGCCAGAGAGGGTACAGGTATCTGATCTAGCAAATCGTCGTTACTGCTCGTTTCAGCAACGTTCTCGATGTTGCCGCTATCTTGATCGACGGATGTTTCTATTTCGGCGCACATCGCCTCGGTTCCAGACTCATCTTTGTGCTCGGTTTCCTCTAGAACTTTTCACACGAAATTCAATTTTAATCCATGTTTCAAGATACTTCAAAGATATATATATTTTTTTTCCTTTCTTTGCCTGGGATTTTTAATATCGATTTCGTACGCCGCGATGCGCGAAGTTGGGAACGAACGTTACGAAACAGTAAAATAAAACAAACAGTAGCGACGAAATATAACAGGAACGGGAAAAGTATGTACCTTCCGTTGCATGGGTTGCACTGTTGTGTTCCAGCAGACCGTTTGGCAATTCGGCCAAATACATTTGTTGTTCGGCGATAAAGGACAACACGCTCTGTAAGGCTTGTTCCCTATCCGGCGGAGGCCTGCCGCTTCTCGACGACGTGCTTGCCAAGCTTTTCGTACTCTCGAACTTTACCAGCCTGTAGAAATCCCTGGTGAAATCCGTGCCAATTGAAGGGGAGTCCGGATCGTCGCTGCAACCGGATAATGCCGCCGAGGATCGTTTGCTCGAATTTTCGAACGCTCCCTCCTCGCTGCTCCAGGAGGCACCTGGACTCGTAGCGTATGGCCATGATCCAGTTGCTCTGGCATCCATTAGAAGGGCAACCTAGACAACGAAAGAACAAGAAATTAAATAAAAAAGTGGATTTCATTAAATTTATTCGTCATTGAAGTCGCATCTAATTTAGAGAAGAAGCAAGAGAGCTCGTTATATTCTATTCTTACCAATTCGCCTCCTGTTCTATCAGCAAGGTAACTGGCACCATTCCACAAGCATTCGTTCGCGTCCTCCTCCAATTCCAGAGGATTATGTTCCTTGATTGCTGGAAGAGCCGGGGTGGTGGTAGTAGCGGGCTCCTTCCATACCGTGGATTCATTTTGAACGAGGTCCTCCGTGGACAACGAGAAACTCCAATCTTCCAATTCTGCTCTGTCGTATTCCAACTCGAGGAGGTCTCGATGTTGTTGAGCACTCCTGCTGTCGTCCAACCTGAAATTCGTTCCCTCTTTCAGTCGATGCCGTTGTATACTTTACACGTGGGAATTTCAAGTGTGTCTGACCCGTCATATCGATCAGCGAGACCGAATTTTAACGAAATAAATTATTTGCTGTGTCGTTCTATTAATTTGTGATTAATTAATAATTAGGAAATTGCAAACGGACCTGAGCCACTGTTGCACGTACTCGGCGTCCCAGCCTTCCTCCTCGACTAGAAGCAAAGAAGAGGATCCCATGGGGCTTGGCAGCTTGTACGGTGTGAAATTGGTCGTGGTGGTCAGCTTGAGGCATAGGTGACTGTCGGAGAAGCTACGCATCACGTGCTGATACGGCAGCAGGTCTTTGGTCGGGGGATAACTGTGACGCGGGTTTATTCCTACGGTGAGATTCAACGGCAAAAACAGCACGTCCGGGTCGCCGGCGTCAAGGGCGACCAGCCGTGCATCCGGCGAAACGTCTGCTTCCGTCTCGTCTGTCGCCTCCTTCAGATCCTCCAATCCCCGGGATGGTTCCTGTCGAGCACCCTCACCCTGCACGTCGCTGGACATCGTTGAATAACCCTCGTCTCTGTTCCCGCTCTCCGGGCTCTCGCTACCTTCCTCCTCTGACGGTTTCTGGGCTGAATTATCGCAGTGAGTGTATTACTTCGACGTTATTGCATCAACATTCCATCTAGCATTGTAACTGTGAATGCGCTTGTGGAAAATTAAAACGCGCGCAATTATAATTAAAAAAGAAAAAAAAAAAAAAAAGAAAAACGTACAAAATGTTAACACACGCGTGTAATTTAGCAAAATATCATAGTTCAATTCAATTGCGCGTTGTTTGATATTTAAGTGAGTTTAACTTTCTACTTTTGGTTTAACGGTTGAAGTTTATATCGAATTGGTAGACACATAATAATAATTTTCGAACAATGATACGAATGCATTATAATGTAATTGTCAATTTAATTTATTTCAAAGTTCACGAATGACAGATCGTGACAAAACGTACCCAGAGGTCTGTTTCTTCGACATTTCGTAGCAGCCATGACTGGTATCTGCAAATTGAGCGAGCGTGGCCTTGACAAGGGAACCCAAGCTGGATCCAGACCAAGGGCAGCGACCACCGCCGCTGGTCCAGCTTCGAGAATCCCTTGAATCAATTCTGTCGGACTTCCAGGATTCGCCGCCTGGGCCAACAATCCTGAGAGCGCTCGATTTTGAGCTTCGAGCTCCCGTATGCGCCTCTGCAACGCACCGATTTCTTCCCTGAGACCCTACACGTCGTGGAAGAAACGATCAGTGTGCCGTTCACTCGACTACGATGTTAGAAATGACAATGGAAAGCGCGTTAGCGGACGAACAACGAGGATCTCAAAACGAAAACGTTGAAAATCGGACGTGATTGGATGGACAAGCGTTTGCTATATTTGTACTAGCGTTAAAGAAAATGGAATAGCTCTCTATTTTCGTTAAGATTCGAGCAGTGTGAAAACTTAATATATTTGTGTTATTTAAATTTTGTACGGGCAAAACACAGTCGCAGCTTCGCAATCTTGCAGCGCAGCGGATGGATCAGACGGGATCGACACTGAGGGTGAAATCATTGGTAGACTCTTCTGAACAATATGGTACACAATGTGGTGAAAAAAAGGAAAAGAAATCAGATACGAATTTCACGTTACGCAACGTATCGACGAAATCGATCAAAGAAAAAGTAATGGCCGTAATGTCTTTTAAACGTAACGTAATTTACTTGGACATCGTTCGTCGTTAGTCTTTGACACTTAATCAAACAATTGAACAAAAAAA